CTATACACTCCAGCTGGACAAGAGTTACAGACCCTGTCTCAAGGTAAAAAATAAAGAGAGAGATAAATGGCTGGGCACAGTGGCTCACGATTATAATCCCAGCACTTTAGGAGACCAAGGCTGGCAGATCATGAGGTCAGAAGATTGAGACCATCCTGGCCAAAATGGTGAAACCCCGTCTCTACTAAAAGTACAAAAATTAGCTGGGCATGGTGGTGAGTGCCTGTAATCCCAGCTAACTGGGAGGCTGAGGCAGGAGAATTGCTTGAATCAGGGAGTCATAGGTTGTAGTGAGCCAAGATCACGCCATTGCACTCCAGCCTGGCAACAGAGGGAGACTCCACCTCAAAAAAAAAAAGAGAGAAAAAAAGAGAAGTATAACCCTCTGAGAAGGAAAGAATTTTAGCCACTTTTATTTCACTTATGTTTTCCTTTTTAAAGTATGTATAAGAGTTACATAATAGACCAGGCACAGTGGCTCATACCTGTAATCTCAGCACTTTGGGAGACCAAGGCAGGGGAACCACTTGAGCCCAGGAGTTTGAGACCAGCCTAGGCAACTTAGCAAAAACCCAGTCTCTATTAAAAATTATCAATACATAATAAAACCTATGTTTAAGCCTAAAGATTTTCCATAAGAACAAAATATAAATTTTAAAGTGGCAAAAAAGCATTGTATCAGTCTAATTTATAAATTTTGGTAGAACATGAAATAGGAAGCCTTAAAGTTGACAATACCTTAGAGTCAACAGAATGCAGTGTTCAACAACTACAGTATTCACTTACTGATATTCAAGATGGGGTAATATTCTGAGCCCTGCAACTGCAAAGCTTACTAAGCCTGCCATGCCCCCTATAATCTTACCTCCCTCAGGCTTCATTTCTCTGTGTTGACCTGTGTCTTTTTGTTCCTTTCATGAGGTATGGAACATTGGTTTCTGTCACTCTCTGAAACTCCGACGCTTACAAGTACATTGCCCCGTCTGTCTGTACATGTTGTTCATTTCTATGTCTCTTGGTTACTTTAATAGTATCTCTCCTTTTCCCCAGTTACTCTCTCATTGCCTGATCAAAATACAAAAGTGAAGGACAGGCCCAGTGGCTCACACCTGTAATCCCAGCACTCTGGGAGGCCAAGGTGGACAGATCACCTCAGGTCAGAAATTCAAGACCAGCCTGGCCAACACGATGAAACCCCCATGTCTAAAAAAAAAATACAAAAATTGGCCAGGCATGGTGGCAGGTGCCTGTAGTCCCAGCTACTCGGGAGGCTGAGGCAGGAGAATCACTTGAACCCAGGAGGCGGAGGTTGCAGTGAGCCAAGGTCACACCACTGCACTCCAGCCTGGCAACAGAGCAAGACTCCATCTAAAAAAAAGAAAACATGGCTGGGCGCAGTGGCTCACATCTCTAATCCCAGCACTTTGGGAGGCCAAGGCAGGTGGATCACCTGAGGTCAGGAGTTTGAGACCATCCTGGCCAACATGGTAAAACCTCGTCATAAAAAACAAAATACAGCAAACTAAGTTGCTCATAACTATGCTGCAAATGGGTCATGTAACAAATGAAAACGAATGGAGGTGAATGAAAATTCAACACCCAGGAAAAGGAAAAGAAATCTGAGGACCTATTACATATAAAAGAGTAGGCACAATCCATTTAATTTCACAAAACACTAACTAGCTTTTTTTTTTCCTTTTTGAGATAGGGTCTTACTCTGTCCCCCAGACTGGAGTGCAATGGTGTGACCTCCAGGGCTCAAGTGATCCTCTCACCTCAGCCTCCCAAAGTACTGGGGTTATATGTGTAAGCTACCACCCCCAGCCCAAACCAGCCAGAATTTTTTAAAAGTGGAATTTTTAATTCTACTTTTTTTTTGGGGGGGGGGGTAGGGAAGGAGGAAGGGAGGAAGGCAGGAAGGGAGGGGAGGAGGAAGGGAGGGAGGAAGGAAGGGATGAAGGAAGGAAGGGAGGAAGCGGGGGGCGGGGGGCCAGTGACGGAAGGGAAGGAATTCAAGCAATAAGAGAGACATTGCCGACCTGGATCTAGAGGTTTACACGTTGAGATCTTTTTTTGAGAGAAGGAAAGAAAAAAAAAATGAGTAAAGGAGAGAAAGGAAGAGGAAGAAAGAGAGGGAGGGTGAATGGAAATATTGCTTTATTCTGAAAAAAAAAAAAAATGGGTATAATAATGACCAATCAATGTTTCATTTAAACCTATGAGTAGGTGTGATGTGGTATTGACAAGAATGTATATTTTGTGTATTTGAAGTGGAGAGCTCTAGAAATATTTATTAAGTTTACTTGTTCTGGATCTGAGTTCAAGTCCTTGATATCCTTATTAATTTTCTGTCTCATTGAATCCAAGTCTCTAGGTATCTGGGTGTTAGGATAGTTAGCTCTTGTTGTTGTATTGATCCTTTTACCACTATATCTTTGTTGCTTTAAAATCTATTTTATCCGATACGAGAATTGCAACTCCTGCTTTTTATTTATTTATTTATTTATTTATTTATTTATTTTTGCTCTCCATTTGGTTGGTAAATCTTTCTCCATTCCTTTGTTTTGAGTCTTTGTGTATCCCTGCATGTGAAACGGGTCTGGATGTAACATGCCATTGGGTTTTGGCTGTGTCTTTTGATTGGGGGATTTAGTTGATTTAAATTGAGGGTTACTGCCATTTGATGTTAACTGGCTGTTTTATCCATTCGTTGATGTAAGTTCTTCTTTATGTTGGTGCTCTTTACTTTTTGGTATATTTTTAGAAAGGCTAATACTGGTTGTTTCTTTCTGTGTGTAATGCCTCTTTCAGAAGCTCTTGTAAAGCAGGCCTGGTGGTAATAAAATCTCTGAGTACTTGCTTGTTCATAAAAGATTTTATTTTTCCTTCAGTTGTGAAGCTTAGTTTGGCTGGATATGAAATTCTGGGCTGAAGGTTCTGTTCTTTGAGGATGTTGAATATTAGCCCCCACTCTCTTCTGGCTTGTAGAGTTTCTGCTGAGAGATCTGCTGTAAGTCTGATAGGCTTGCCTTTATGGGTAACCTGACCTTTCTCTCTGGCTGCCCTTAGTATTTCCTCCTTCGTTTCAACCCTGGTGAATCTAACGATTATGTGCCTTGGGGTTGCTCTTCTTGAGGAATATCTTTGTGGTGTTCTCTGTATTACCTGGGGTTGAATATTGACCTGCTTTGCTAGTTCAGGAAAATTTTCCTGAATAATATCCTGTAGGGTATTTTCCAGCTTGGATTCATTCTCTCCGTCGCATTCAGGTACACCTATCAAACGTAAATTTGATCTTTTCATATAGTCCCACATTTCTTGGAGACTTTGCTCGTTCCTTTTTATCCTTTTTTCTCTAATCTTTTCTTCGTGTTTTATTTCATTAAGTTGGACTTTGACCTCTGATATCCCTTCTTCTGCTTGAACAATTCGAGTGTTTAAACCTGTGCAAACTTCTCGGAGTTCCTGTATTGTATTCTTCAGTTCCATTAATTCATTCATACTCCTCTCTAAGTTGTCTATTCTCAATAGGATTTCATCAAACCTTTTTTCAAAGTTCCTAGTTTCTTTACGTTGGGCTACAACATGTTCTTTTAACTCACCGAAGTTTGTTATTATCCATTCCCTGAAGCGTGATTCTAGCATTGGGATGCGCTCGTTCTCCATCAAGCCTTGTTCCATTGTTGATGTGGAACTGTGATCATCTTTAGAGGGAGAGGCGTTCTGATTTTGAGTATTCTCAGCCTTTTTACACTGGTTTCTTCCCATCATTGTAATTTTATCCTCCTGTCGTCTTTGAAATTACCAGCTTTCAGATTAGGTCTCTTGATTGGACATCCAAGTTGTTAGTTCTCAGGGCCAGAACGGCGATGTTAAGACTGATGGTGCTTTTCTGCCCAGGATTCTCCTGTCTGGCTTCCTTCTTGTGTCTGTAATGGGTGAGTCTGCCTTCCCCTGGCTCCAAACTTCGGTCAGAAGGGGAGCCAGCCCTGTTTACTCTGCTCCGAGAGCTGCCGTGCCGAGGTGCCGGCGAAACCGCTGTGCCGGCTACAAGAGTCACGCTGGCGACCCATGTGGCTCCTCCACTGGGGATCTTCTGCTCCATGAGCGACCAGAATCTGTCTGAAAGTGTGGTGTCCTCTAGTTCTCTGCGCTTTGACTGAGAGCTGCAATCCCGAGCTGTTATAGATCAGCCATCTTGGATGTTCCAATTCTACTTTTTTGTTGTTGTTGCTGAGACGGAGTCTCACTCTGTCACCCAGGCTAGAGTGCAGTAGCGCAATCTTGGCTCACTGCAATCTCCACCTCCTGGGTTCAAGTGATTCTCCTGCCTCATCCTCCTGAGTAGCTGGGATTACAAGTCCATGCCACCACACCCAGCTAATTTTTACATTTTTAGTAGAGACTGGGTTTTGCCATGTTGGCCAGGCTGGTCTCGAACTCTCAACCTCAGGTGATCCACCTGCCTCAGCCTCCCAAAGTGCTGCGATTACAGGCTTGAGCCATGGCACCCAGCCTTTAATTCGACTTTTAAGAAGCATTGCTAAGATTACATAAGGAATAAATGACAGACTGAATTTGAAAACAAGTGAGTATGATTCTAAACCCCATGCTTTTTCCAGAATTTCAGAAGTTCAAAATAAAATTTATACTGGAGTACTTAGCAAAAATTGCAAACACAAACACAAAGAGTTTTATCTTTGAGACAGAGTTTCACTCTTGTTGCCCAAGCTGGAGTGCAATGGTGCAATCTTGGCTCACTGCAACCACCACCTCCCAAGTTCAAGTGATTCTCCTGCTTCAGCCTCCCAAGTAGCTAGGATTACAAGTGTACACCTAGCTAATTTTTTTGTATTTTTAGTAGAAACGGGGTTTCACCATGTTAGCCAGGCTGGTCTCGAACTCATGACCTCAGATTATCTGCCTGCCTCGGCCTCCCAGAGTGCTGGGATTACAGGTGTGGGCCACCGCACCCCGCCAACAATGTGTTTTTAAATTACCTGGTTTGGTGAAACATCTGTGGAAGACAGTGATACAAACGTCTTCTCTATAGTTTCAGGCAAAGAGTGGTATGTATCCTTTTCCTCTAGTTTCCAGTAAGTCAATCCTGATGTGCACAAACACAGAATAGGAGAGTTAGGAAAAAACAAAAATGCTTTATAGAATAACTTATTTCTACCTAAAGGAAATTAAATATGGAAATAAACTAATTTTGGGTTACAGTAATTTGAATTTTGATAAAAAAGTTATCCAAAGTCCTTATTATGTAAGTGTCCTAACTGGATGCAAATGTTTAAAACTGAAATATAGAAAGTCAAGATGAGTTGGTACAATTTAAAATATATATTTTTGGCAGGGCATGCTGGTTCACACCTGTAATTCCAGCACTTTGGGAGGCTGAAGCAAGCAGATTACCTAAAATCAGGAGTTTGAGACCAGCCTGGCCAACACAGTGAAACCCTGTCCGTACTAAAAATCTAAAAATTGGCCAGGTGCAGTGGCTCACACCTGTAATCCCAGCACTTTGGAACGCCGAGGTGGGTAGATTACAAGGTCAGGAGTTTGAGACCAGCCTGACCAACAGGATGAAACCCTGTCTCTACTAAAAATTCACAATTAGCCGGGTGTGGGTGGTGCACGCTTGTAATCCCATCTACTCAGGAGGCTGAGGCAGGAGAATTGCTAGAACCTAGGAGGTAAAGGTTGCAGTGAGCCAAGATTGCGCCATGTCCTCCAACATAGGTGACAGAGACTCCGTCTCAAAAAAAAAAAAAAAAAAAATCCAAAAATTAGCCAAGTGTGGTAGCACACACCTCTAACTCCACCTACTTAGAAGGCTGAGGCATGAGAATTGCTCAAACCCAGGAGACAGAGGTTGCAGTGAACTAAGATGCCACCACTGCACTCCAGCCTGGGTGATAAGAGTCAGACACTTCCCTCCCCCACCAAAAAAAAAAATAGGCTGGGCACGGTGGCTCATGCCTGTAATCCCAGCACTTTGGGAGTCTAAGGCAGGCAGATCATGAGGTCAGGAGCTCGACACCAGCCTGGCCGACATGGTAAAACCCCATCTCTACTAAAAAATACAAAAATTAGCTGGACATGGTGGCACACCTGCAATCCCAGCTACTCGGGAGGCTGAGGCAGGAGAATCACTTGAACCCAGTAGGCAGAGGTTGCAGTTAGCTAAGATCACGCCACTGTACTCCAACCTGGGCGACAAAGTAAGACTCTGTCTTGGAAAAAAACAATTAATTAAAATATATTTTTTTATTTTTTATTTGAGACAGGGTCTCACTTTGTCACCCAGGCTGGAGTACAGTGGTACCATCTCAGCTCACTGTAGTCTCTTTTTTTTTTTTCCTGAGACAGTGTCTCACTCTGTTGCCCAGGCTGGAGTGCAATGGCGCAATCTCGGCTCACTGCAAACTGCGCATCCCAGGTTCAAGTGATTCTCCTGCCTCAACCTCCCGAGTAGCTAGGGTTACGGGCATGTACCACCACACGCAGCTAAGTTTTACATTTTTAGTAGAGACGGAGTTTCATCATGTTGGCCAGGCTGGTCTGGAATTCCAAACCTCAAGTGATCCGCCCCCCTTGGCATCCCAAAGCTCTGGAATTACAGGCATGGGCCACTGTGCCTTGCCCAGCTCACTGGAGTCTCGACCTTCCGGGTTCAAGCCATCATCCTGCCTTAGCCCTGCAAGAAACTGGGACTACAGGCACATACCACCAAGCCCTCTAAATTTTTTTGTATTTTAAGTAGAGACAGGGCTTTGCCATGTTGTCCAGACTGGTCTTGAGCTCCTGAGCTCAAGCAATCCACCCTTCTCAGCCTCTCAAAGTGCAAGGATTATAGGTGTGAGCTACCAGTCCTGGCCTTAAAATGTATTTTAAAATATACAATTTCTTTTTTTGTTTTTTGTTGTTGTTGTTTTTTAGAAGTGGTGGGGTTCTAGAAAGTTTTATAAGGTGGCCGGGCACGGAGGTAATCCCAGCACTTTGGGAGGCTGAGGTAGGCGGATCACAAGGTCAGGAGATCAAGACCATTCTGGCCAACATGGTAAAATCCCGCCTCTACTAAAATACAAAAAATTAGCCAGGTGTGGTGGTGTGTGCCTATAGTCCAAGCTACTCAGGAGGCTGAAGCAGGAGAATCACTTGAACCCAGGAGGCAGAGACTGCAATAAGCCAAGATCGCACCATTACACTCCAGCCTGGAAACAGGGCGAGACACCATCTCAGAGGGGAAAAAGAAAAAGAAAGTTTTATAAGGCAAAGCTAATTTATCCTGATGAATTGGATGTGGGATATGAAACAATCTGTATATAAAGTCATTAAGACTTGAATAAACTCACCGTAGGGTATAAAGAATGGCTCAAAGGGTTTGAATTTAATTCATTTTGGACTACCTGGAAAAGGTTAATCATTTTTACAGCTGTTCAAAGTAATTGCAAAAGTAATTCATCATCCTCTTTACAGATCTTATAACACAAATTAGACAAGAAAGAAAGGTGGCTAGGCGTGATGATGGCTGAAGCACTTTAAGAAACTGAGGCAGGTGGATTGCTTGAGCCCAGGAGTTCAAGACCAGCTGGAGCAACATGGCAAAACCCTGTCTCCACAAAAAAAATACAAGAATTAGCCAGGTGTGTTGGCACTGCCTGTTGTCCCAACTATTCTTGGGAAGCTGAGGTGGGAAGATCAAGTGAGCATGGGAGGATGAGGCTACAGTGAGCCATGATTGCACCACTGCATCCCAGCCTGGGCCACAGAGTGAGACGCTGTCTCAACAAACAAAACAAACAAAGGTAAGGGTGCTACCGGAGAACACCACACCATATCATAGATTAACAAAACCATACTACTATGCAGCATCATCCTATAAGGAGAAATGCAGGCAAATTGTTTTTTAAAAATAACTCTACAAATCTAAGTACCTTCCTCTGAGGTAGTTTAGGTTAAAAAAATAAAGATTTGAGTGTCATACCTGTTCCTGAATCAGACATCCAAGCATTTGGAGTTTCATCTGCTTTACTGAGGTAAAAAGCACGAGGATGTGTAGCAGCAGCAAAATCAGACTAGAAGAAAGAAGACTATTGGTTGACAGCTTAAAAGTCATTAGGCACAAACTGCTGACTCAGGGAATGAGAGCGGGCATCAAACCAGGTGTAGAGAAACTTTCAGAGGGTTCACAAGAAGAAACCCGGGCCAGGTGCAGTGGCTCACACCTGTAATCCCAGCACTTTGGGAAGCCAAGGTGGGTGGATCACGATGTGAGGAGTTCCAGAACAGCCTGTCCAAGATGACAAAATTCCATCTCTGCTAAAAATACAAAAATTAGCTGGGTGCGATGGTGGGTACCTATAATCACAGCTACTCGGGAGGCTGAGACAGGAGAATTGCTTGAAACCCAGGAGGGGGAGGTTGCAGTGAGCCGAGATCTCGCCACTGCACTCCAGCCTGAGCAACAGAGCAAGACCCTGTTTCAAAAAAAAAAAAAAGCCTGGTTTCCCCACGGTTACAAGAATGCTGAGAGGAATTTACTGTGAAATATTCACTGTTGAATTTTTTTTTTTTTGCCTGTGGAATTTACAAGTTTATTTCGGTTCTCTGTAGAGCTGGAAGAAAAATGGGGGCAGGTATTATTTCGTGAGTTCAAATATAAAATGTATTTGCCATTTACTTCCAAAACGAATTTGAGGTGCCTAGAATTAAAGGCATTAATATAAAAATTAATGTAAAAGCTCTAGCAATTCATTTTTATCATTATAATTACAATAAATCAGATTAACTTTAGAAACCATAAATCAATAATATGAACCTTAAGTAGACTACTTCCTATATACAAACAATTGGTTACTAGTCGCTGCTTACTTATTAATTCTAGTAAAAAATCTGAGCAAATCCCTCCTTACAACATCTCTGGCACTGTCAGAAGAAATATATCTTTCCAAACAGAGATATGCAATGAGAACATTTCTATCAATTTATCTTATCAGATTCCTTATCAAACTTTCAATTCCTGTAAAGAGTATGTAACCATCCATGAACCCACTGCCAAAGTAAAAGCACACTGAGATAATACTACCTACCAAGAAGGGGGATTAACCCATCAACCTTATAAGGTACCACTTATTTTCTTTCTCATCAAGAAACAAATTCCAAAGTCATCTTTTGCCTCTTAGAAAACTAACTCCTCCCTGTTTGAATTTGTCTCAGTACTTAAGACCAAGAGAAGGTGACTGAAAAGTCCAAGTCAAATAATCCCAAGTAAAATATTTTGTCCTCGTCTGGATTCTGAGGTGCAAATTCAGTGCACTTGGCTGTGGCACACACACAGTGGGCTGGCAGGGGCTTACCTTACAAAGCTGCCTGCTGCACTCTTCTGGGCAAACAAGGCATCCACTAAAGAAAACAGGCCCAGCTTTTAATGAAAAATAAAAGTAGGATGCAATGAAAAGCCCTTCTAAATATAAACCCTCTTAGCCCAAGAAGCCAGACTAAGCTTAGCACAAGGACCTCAATGAGTTTTAGTAACCGTCTATTAGCCCATCTGAAAAACCACCACAGAAGCCCCTTGGCCTGTGAAATGGGAGAGTCTGTCCAAGACAAAGAACCAAGGAAACAAAGAGCAACTCAAGCCCTGGAGAACCCTTTTGCTAAACAACATGCAATTTCAAAATTACTTCAAAGCTGCTATTTACACAAAATAAACCACCATTGTATAAAAAGAAAATTGGATCAGAAGATAATCCTGATAACAAGAATTCTCTGCTTTAGACTGAAACTGAAACCAGTAAGACAAGAAAAAAGACTAAATAAAAAGTAAAGTTCTAACTTTTGTGAATCCAGAATCATGCAAGTAAGAAATGCATTTCAGGGACCAACCACCATGAGCTCAAAATCATTTAGGGCTCAGAAATATCAAAGAAACTTGATTTTCCCTAGTGATTTAATACCAAATATTTCAATTACCCAACAAAAGGAAAACTAAAACTTGTCCAGGGATGATCAAAGAAAGACTCTGAGGGAATCACTGCCTCCTCACAGCCTCCGCTTTCTGCCCTATAATCACAAGATGGAGAAGACGCTACCAGAAGGGCATTTCTCAGGCAAGGCCAGACCATGGGCAGCTGGTCTGATTCTCCACTGAACAGAGAAGGAAAATTAGGTGGTGCCCTAATTGACCAGCGGCTCCTAGACTCTACTGCACATCAGTATCACCTGATTAAAAGTCCCAACACACAGGTCAGCACCTGGGCTTGGAAACCAGAAGTAGATTTTTAAATCTCCTCAGGTGAGTCTAATGTCCAGCAGAGGCAGCATCATGGGGCTACATGGCATATACTGAGCCACAATCACAAAGCACAGCAAAAAAACCAGCGAACCCACTGAGTACATAACCACAAGCCCAAAGTTTATTAGAAGTGGAAGTCTGCATAAAAAGAGCTGTAATCTTGGTCAAAACAGAAGAAAATAAACTAATGTGTATGAAAACATTCTTTATGCCAATCTATCCCAACGAGAAAAAGCAATTTTTACCCAGTCTCCAAATGTTTTTCTGCTGTCATACCAAGAAAGGATATACCATCTTTGATTGCACAGAGAGTCAAAAGAATAGAACTACCAACACAGTACTAAACTAAAGGGCTTTTCTAAAACAGAACTACCAATACAGTACTAAATGACTTCTCTAAAACAGGACTGAATGGATTTTCTAGAACAGAACTAACCGGCGGCTCACACCTGTAGTCCCAGCACTTTGGGAGGCTGAAGCGGGCGGATCACCTGAGGTCAGGAGTTAAAGACCAGCCTAGTCAACGTGCTAAAACCCCATTTCTACTAAAAATACAAAAAAATTAGTCGGGCATGGTGGCACATGCCTCTAATCCCAGCTACTCAGGAGGCTGAGGCAGGAGAATCGCTTGAACCTGGAGAATCATTTGAACCCGGGAGGCAAAGGTTGCAGTGAGCCAAGATTGAGCCACTGCACTCCAGCCTGGGGGACAGAGAAAAACTCTGTCTCAAAAAACAAAACAAAACAAACAAACAAAAAACTAACAACACTGTACTGAATGGCTTTTGTAGAGCTACCAATATAGTACTAAAGGGCTTTTCTAGGGTAAAACTAGCAACACAGTGCTATAGGGCTTTCCTAGACCACAGAAGCTTCTGCGGTTCATAGAACTTCATTTACCTTCACTTCCCTCCTCTTCAACACAAATCTGAAAAAGTGCAAAGAATGGTGATAACAGGAAGCCTAAATACCACAAATTGAAGAAAGAAAATTTGTTATAAGAGAAGTAATGCCTTATGAAAGCTGAAGGACTATCTTCTTTTGGTCTCTTAAACAGAAGTTTTTCATAGGATGACAGAAAGACTATGTTCAGGATGATAAAACATGTCCAGTTTCTAAAGGTATTTCATTTGTAGAGGGACCTGATTTTGCAATTTCAATGCATTATACTAAAACAATGCTATTCTGTAACAAATTTAGACCAATAAGGGCTATACAGGAATATTAAAAATTATCTGGCTGGGCAGAGTGGCTCCTGCTTGTAATCTCAGCATTTTGGGAGGCCAAGGCAAGAGGATCACTTGAAGCCAGGAGTTTGAGACCACCCTCAGCAACATAGTGAGACCCTGTCTCTACAAAAGTATATTTAAAAAAAAATTTTTTTTGGCCAGGCACAGTGGCTGATGCCTATAATCTAGGCACTTGGGGTGGGAGGCTGAAGTGGGGAGATCACTTGAGGTCAGGAGTTCAAGACTAGCCTGACCAAAATGGCAAAATCCCATCTCCACTAAAAATACAAAAATAAGCCTGGCATGGTGGCATGCACCTGTAGTTCCAGCTACTTGAAAGGCTAAGGCAGGAGAATTGCTCCAGGAGATGGAGGTTGCAATGAGCTGAGATCATGCCACTGCAATCCAGCCTGGGCAACAAAGCAATACTCCATCTCAGAAAAAAAAAATAGCCTGGCCAAGATAGTAAAACCCCATCTCTACTAAAACTTAAAAAATTAGCCAGTGTGGTGGCAGGCGCCTATAATCCCAGCTATTTGAGAGGCTGAGACAGAAGAATCACTTGAACCCAGGTGGCAGAGATTGCAGTGATCAGAGATCGCACCATTGCACTCCAGCCTGGGCAACAGAGTGAGACTTTGTCTCAAAAATTTAAAAAAAAAAAAAAAATTAAGATCTTAATTATCTGAAACTCAAATGTAAATAATTTTTTAAAAACCTTATTCAATATCTATAATATTTTAATTAAAGTAGCTGCTAGGTTAGCAAAAGGGCCATACAGAATTTCAAAATTTAATCTCTCATAATTTCGATTATAAATTCAGAACTGTCCAAATTTCATAAAGGCATCTTAAAGTATTCAATTTTAAGATTACAGTATTACTTCTTATAACTTAATAGTAGTACAAATTATTTGAAAGTTTGTTTTAAATAATTAAATGGATTACTCTGTGACTAAATGTAAACATTTGCACTACAAAGAGAAATAGGAACTTTGGAAATTATTCATTTCTATAATATTTTATCCCTTATTAGCTTTGATTTCCAGTCTACTAAAGCAACATTTACAGCAAGTATTTCTAATCCTCTGAAACACCAAAAGAAAGATGTATAAATGGGCCAGGAGCAGTGGCTCATGCCTGTAACCCCAGCACTTTGGGAGGCTGCAGTGGGTGAATCACCTAAGGTCACAAGTTCAAGACCAGCCTGGCCAACATGGTGAAACCCCATCTCTACTAAAAATACAAAAATTAGCTGGGCATGGTGGCAGGTGCCTGTAATCCCAGCTACTCAGGAGGATGAGGCAGGAGAATCTCTTGAACCTGGGAGGCAGAGGCTGAAGTGAGCCAATATCACACCATCACACTCCAGCCTGGGCCACAAGAACGAAACTCCATCTCAAAAAAGAAAAAAAAAGATGCATAAATGAACAAATTAACAATACGAAAGAAAGGGCACAAGAATTTTTTTCATGAGTGTGTACTAAACCCATGTAATCATCAGTACTGGAGCCCGCAGGGAAAGTGACTTGTCACTTACTTTCTCAATTGGTGTCTTCTTGCTTTGCTCATTTCCTTGTTTAGCTCTTGAACCTCCATCTTCTACATGTGCTCTCTTTGGTTGGTTCTGCTTCAGTTTTTGTGCCCATGATGTTATAAATTTACTATTTAAGAAGAGAAAAACAAAATTATCTTTTTTTTTTTTTTTTGAGACAGTCTTGCTCTGTCGCCCAGGATGGAGTACAGTGGTGCAATCTCAGTTCACTGCAAACTCCATCTCCTAGGTTCAAGCAATTCTCGTGCTTCAGCCTCCTGAATAGCTGGGATTACAGGCACACCACCACTCAGAGCTAAGCTTTGTATTTTTAGTAGAGATGGGGTTTTGCCATGTTGGCCAGACTGGTCTCAAACTCTTGACCTCTGCCCACCTCAGCCTCCCAAAGTGCTGTGATGACAGGCATGAGCCACCACGCTGGGCTCCAACATTACTTTCTTTAGAGACAAGACTTCACACAAATACTGTACTTCACGTATAAAGCTAACCACCGGTAGATACTGTGTCAGCGTAAAATGCTTTCTGGGTTGTTTTTTTTTTTGAGATCCTCTCTGTCACTCAGGGTAGAATGCAATCACAGCTCACTGCAGCCTTGACCTTCCTCAGCTCAGGTGACCCTCCCACCTCAGACTCCTGAGTAACTGGGACCACAGGCAGGAACCACCACATCCAGCTAATTTTTATTTTTATTTTTTTGGTAGAGACAGGGTCTTGCCATGTTGCCCCGGCTGACCTCAAACTCCTGGGCTCAAGTGATCCACCTGCTTCACCCTCCCAAAGTGCTGGGATTACAAACGTTAGCCACTGTGCCCAGCCAGTTGTTTTTTCTAATAGTGGTAAGATAATGAATTTTTATTAATTCACCTACATTACTCTTTTCAATTTATTATCAAAGGCAAAGTAAACAAAAAGACTAACAGTGACTTATATTACACGAAGTCTGTAGCCATATACTAGAACAAAAACCACCACATTTGCCCTTCCAAGTGCTAAATATATCTCTACAATGAGAGCATATTTGTTGGCACAAATCATTCATTATATTTGAATGTAGATGAGATCTGTGTTGCTTTAGGTGACACAATTCAGAGATACAAAACTAAAAAATTAGGGAAATTTTTAAGGATTATTTATTTTACAAAAACTAAGCCACAGTTTATAAAAAGTCTCCTATGTCATGAAATGTCATTACATTTATAAAAATTCTTCTTACACATAAAAAACATTCAGGCCAGGCGAGGTGGCTCAGGTCTGTAATTCCAGCACTTCGGGAAGCTGAGGTGGGCAGATCACCTGAGGTCAGGAGTTCAAGACAGCCTGGCCAACATGGCGAAACCCCGTCTCTACTAAAAACACAAAAATTAGCTAGGCATGGTGGTATGCACCTGCAGTGCCAGCTACTCAGGAGGCTGAGGTGGCAGAATTGCTTGAACCCAGGAGGTGGAGGTTGCAATGAGCTGAGAACGCACAACTGCACTCCAGCCTGAATGACAGAGCGAGACTCCATCTCAAAACAAAACAAAAAAACAAACACATTTGGCAGAATACAGACTGGACAAAAGAAAACAGAAAACTGGGGCCAGCCGCCATGGCTCACACCTGTAATTCCAGCACTTTGCGGGGCTGAGCTGGGAGAGAGACCAGCCTGGCCAACACAGTGAAACTCTGTCTCCACTAAAAATAACAAAAATTAGCCAGGTGTGGTTGTATGCACCTGTAGTCCCAGCAACTCGGGAGACTTAAGGCTGGAGAATCACTTGAACCAGGGAGGCAGAGGTTGCAGTTAGCTGAGATTGCACCATTGCACTCCAGCCCAGGAGACAAAGCAAGACTCCGACTCAAAAAACAAACAAACAAACAAAAATTGGGTAAGCCTGTATGTAATTTTCGGTTTCAGCTGAACATAGTAGCACAGTCCTAACTACTCAAGAGGATCACTTGAGCCCAGGAATTCTAGGCTGCAGTGAGCTATGATTGCACCACTGCACATCAGCTTGGGCAGCAAAGCAAGACCCCCTACCTTTAAAAAAAAAAAAACTGTTCAAATTACATGAACATGTGTGACAACCTTCCACTAATAATACAGCCCTGTCTGCTAAAAATATCTGTTCCATTTTCTGGCAAGGCTTCCCACCTTAAGAGTTTTGTAGTCTTGGCCAGGTGCAGTGGCTCACACCTGTAATCCCAGCACTTTGGGAGGCTGAGGCGGGCAAATCACGAGATCAGGAGTTCGAGATCAGCCTGGCCAATAAGGTAAAACCCCGTCTCTACTCAAAATACCAAAAAAAATCAGCCAGGCATAGTGGCGCGTGCCTGTAGTCCCAGCTACTTGGGAGGTGAGCCAGGCGAATCACTTGAGCCCAGGAGGCAGAGGTTGCTGTGAGCCAAGATTGTGCCACTGCACTCCAGCCTGGGTGACAGAGCAAGATGCTGTCTCAAAAAAAAGAAAAGAAAAAGAGTTTAGTCTTTTTCAACATTACAGATGGAAGAAAGTCAGTGTCATTAGAACATAGTGTGCCTTTAATTGCTTTAATTTCCCAGGGCTTAAAAAAAAAAGAATACAGTGTGCTTTATTTCAGTGTTCTATAGGCAAGAAACTGATAAATGTTTAAATACATCTCATCCTATTATAGTTCATTAAAAGGAACTTTATCCACTAGATTCTAAATGTATAAACTTCCTTCAAATGATGGAAATTCTACTTACCTATTTGTTTTCCCACTGTATACTTCAGAAACCTTATTTTCACCATGAAAATTATGTTCAAATTCACCAGGAAAAAGGGAAACATCTTCCCTTAGAGATGCACAACACTCTTCAGGAGTCTGTATATAAAAACTCTCATTTTTCACATTATCTACAAGTGAATCGGCCGGCACCACAGGTGCTACATACTGTCCTTTGGGAACGTCTTCGTGCTCCATGAACTCCTTAGGGTCTTGAGATTTGTATGGATTTAATTCTGAGATACAAAAAGTACCATATCCACTGCTCACTGAGCTACTATCCACATTGCAGTCTAGTTGTGATGTGGACATTTCTTGCTGCATTTCCGGTTCTTTGGATTCAGGATAACTGATAACAGATTCATTTTTCTCACTGCTTTCAGAAAAAAAACCCATTTGACTTTCTGAAGATACTTGTTTGCTTGAAGAATTTCTATCACAGGAAGTCCAGGAAGCACTACTGGTCTGTAATTTGACTAAATTTTTTATCTCCTCCTGTATATGCTGGAAATAAAAAGTTATAGATTTGGGTAAGAAAGTATATTAAACATCATATTTTTATGACTGTTACAAGAATATCATGTTTCAAAATATAATGAAATGTTATTCTAAAAGATAATATTATGCTTTATCTTTAGTTTATAAACAAAATAGAGGCCAGGTGCGGTGGCTCACACCTGTAATCCCAGCACTTTGGGAGGCCCAAGCAAGTGGATCACTTGAGGTCAGGAGTTCCGAGACCAGCTTGGCCAACATGGTGAAACCCTGTCTCTACTAAAAATTAGCTGGGCATGGTGGCATGTGCCTGTTATTCCAGCTACTCAAGAGGCTGAGGCAGTAGAATTGCTTGAACCCAGGAGGTGGAGGTTGTAGTGAGCTAAAATCGTGTCACTGTACGCCAGCCTGGGTGACAGAGTGAGACCTTGTCTCAAAAAAAAAATTTTTTTTTAATATAATGTATTTTCTTACAAATATAAAAAAGGAGGCTGGGCATGGTGGCTCATGCCTGTAATCCCAGAACTTTTGGAGGCCAAGCCAGGCAGATCACAAGGTCAGGAGTTCAAGACCAGCCTGGCCAACAGGACAAAACCCCATTTTTACTAAAAATACAAAAATCAGCCGGGCATGTTGGTGGGTGCCTGTAATCCCAGCTACTCAGGAGGCTAAGGCAGGAGAATCAGTTGAACCAGGAAGGCAGACGTTACAGTGAGCCGAGTTTGTACCACTGCACTCCAACCTGGGCGACAAGAGTGAGACTCCACTTCAAAAAAAAACAGTAAAAATATAAATAAATATATATATATATATGGAATCAATGTAAATGACAACTTACTTGAATTTGGTTGTGAAACTGCTCCTGCTGGGCAACTATCTGTTCTTGGCATTGTTTTTCCACCAAATTGAATAGCTGTAACCACCTGGTCTATTAAATTATAAAACATTTATTAAAAATAATTTCCTGACTTAACATTTCACAGAACAATTCCTCCAGTATAAAAGAGTCCTTTTTAGGTCATGATCCATCCCAACTCCCAAGAGCCATCAGCACTCTCATAACTAGAGTATGCCAGTGCGTCACACTAAGGGAGCAAGGAGTTCTACAGAAGGTTACATTCAGCCTCAAGGCTAGAAGACTTTCAGCCGCAGACCGTATGCAGCAATACAAAACATCAGGAAGTGGTTATGAAAACTGCCTGCCCTGCACAAAGCCTTTCAGCATCTTTCCACTCCTAATCTTTCCTTAGAGGGCTCTGCATCGTCTGGCTCATACACACCTCCCCACTTCATCTGAGCCCTCTCTGTGCCTTGCCGGCTATGCACCTGCCTCACGGGCATCCTCTGTTCTTGAGCACGCCAAAACCGTCTCCCACCTCACAGCTGAGCACCTGGCAAGCTCTTGCACAGCTCTCACCATGACTGCTGTATTCCACCCTACAATTTCAGTCCAATTGTCATCTTCTCAAAACATCCTAACAGTTCCTTTCTTGTCATCCTATTTATTTCCTTCATAGCATTTGCCACATTAGAAAGTCTCCTATCTGTTCATTTTGTGAATTCTGTCTCCTATCCCTACCCTACTCTAACTCGAAGCTCTCCACTGAAAACTTTTGGGATCCTGGACAAATTAATTTGTACCTCAGTTTCCAAATTTATAAAATGGAAATAATAACACCTCATAGGTAGCTAAGAAAATTAAGTTTTATTTATTTTTGAGACAGAGTCTCTCGCTCTGTCACCCAGGCTAAAGTACAGTGGCATGATCTGAGCTCACTGCAACCTCCGCCTCCCGAGTTCAAGCAATTCTTGTGCCTCAGCCTCCCAAGTACCTGGGATTACAGGCGTGTCACCACATCTGGCTAATTTTTGTATTTTTTAGTAGAGACACGGTTTCACCATGTTGGCCAGGCTGGTCTTGGACTCCTGACCTCAAGTGATCTACCTGCCTTGGCCTCCCAAAGTGCTGGGATTACAGGCCTAAGTTTTAAATTTAAATATGATTGAGTGATCTCCACGGGGAAGGAACTGCATATTGGAAATCTGTGAGGTCACAGTCATGACAAAGCTGGGGGGACATCATTGGCACTTAGTGGGCACGGTCGAAGCATGCAGATCATAGAGCAGTCCCCCACAATGAAGAATTGTCCTGTGTCCATTTTACATTACAAAACAATAAATATTTTGCATAGTATTCATATCACCAAAACAAACAAGTTTGTTTCAAAATCTCATGAGAAGTTGGTCACCCTTTCAGAAAAGCATGTCACCAGTGGAGGTGTTGTCCACAATATCTGGATCATCATCACACCATAGCTGTATTGATCTGTGTTTAGCTGCTGAATTCACAGTAAGTCTACATACAGGTAAACACAACTATTTCATTATGTCTTCTTTTTTTTTGAGGCTGAGTTTCGCTCGTTACCCAGGCTGGAGTGCAATGGCGCGATCTCGGCTCACCGCAACCTCCGCCTCCTGGGTTCAGGCAATTCTCCTGCCTCAGCCTCCTGAGTAGCTGGGATTACAGGCACGCACCACCGTGCCCAGCTAATTTTTTGTATTTTTAGTAGAGACGGGGTTTCACCATGTTGACCAGGATGGTCTCGATCTCTTGACCTCGTGATCCACCTGCCTCAGCCTCCCAAAGTGCTGGGATTACAGGCGTGAGCCACCGCGCCCAGCCCTCATTATGTCTTCTAATGAACACGTACCTGACATGTATATATCCAAGTACATATTCTTTTACTATAAGTAACTTTTATTTCTCCTTTATGTCACATTTAAATAATACCCTGATTTTTTAAAGTGGTTACAGGTAGGTTATATAATCTATGAATTTCATTTAAGGATAATGTAAATTGATGTTATTTTGAAAACTGTTATAAAAAGAGAGCTCACAGGCTGGGTACAGCAGCTCATGCCTGTAATTCCAGCACTTTGGGAGGCCAAGGTGGATGGCTCATTTGAGTTAATGAGTTCAAGACTAGCCTAGGCAACATAGCGAAACCTTGTTTCAACAAAAAATACAAAAATTAGCTGGGCATGGTGGTGTGTACTTGTAGTCTCAGCTACTTGGGACGCTGAGGTGGGAGAATGGCTTGAGCCCAAGAGGTTGAGGGTGCAGTGAGCAGAGATTGTCACTGCACTTCAGCCTGGATGACAGAATGAGACCCTATTTCAAAAAAAAAAAAAAGAAAGAGAGAAAGAACAAAGAAAAGGAAGAAAGAAAGAGAGAAAAGGGAGGGGAGGGGCCAGTTCAAATGTTAAAAGATGGCAATGGCTACTTCATATTCCAACACAAAAATCTGTATCTTATCCTGGAGCAGGTTGGATTAGGAAAAAAAAAAATCTGTATCTTAAATTCACAAATATATTCTGATTCTGACTTAAGATGATAATGTCACAAAAGAATGTTGATTTCAAATTTCAAATTACTGAAAGTAACAATTTGGCCAGACACAGTGGCTCACGCTTGTATTCACAGCACTTTGGGAGGCCAAGGTTCGTGGATCAAGAGATTGAGACCACAGTGAAACCCCGTCTCTACTTAAAAATACAAAAATTAGCTGGCCATGGTGGCGTGTGCCTGTGGTCCCAGGTACTCGGGAGACTGAGGAAGGAGAATTGTTTGAACCCCGGAGGCGAAGGTTGCAGTGAGCCGATATCGCGCCACCGCACTCTAGCCTGGCGCCTGGCAAAAAAACAAGACTCTGTCTCAAAAAAAAAGAAAAGAAAAAAAGAAAGTAATGATTCCTATTAAACACAAATTTTCCAGAAGTTAAACTACATTGTGGCAATGTAGTTTGTCCCAAAGCATGTTAATTCAGGTATCAAAAGCTAATGAAGGCCCTGCATGGTAGTTCATACCTGTAATACCAGCACTTTGGGAGGTCAAGGCAGGCAGATCACCTGAGGCCAGGAGTTTGAGACCAGCCTGGACAACATGGTGAAACCCCATTTCTTTTGTAATTTTGTAAAAATACAAAAATTAACTGAGCATGGTGGCACACACCTATGATCTCAGCTACTCCGGAAACTGAGCCAGGAAAATCACTTGAACCCAGGATGCAGAGGTTGCAGGGAGCTGAGATCACGCCACTGCATTCCAGCCTGGGCAACAAGGCTCTGTCTCAAAAACAAACAAACAAACAAAAAGCTAATGAGTAGATAAATTAGGGGAAACATTTAATACACTTAATAAAACATTCCATTTTTAATTGCATTTGCATGGGCATTTTTAAAGGTCTTTAACATTTGTGCATACTGATAGTTACAGCTAAACAAAAAAGTATAAAAACTGAAAACTCAATTTTTTAAACATTTGGTAATACTTTTTTATAATTTCAATAATTATGGATAATGAATATAAAATTACACTTAGCAGTTGCTACTGAATTTTTAAATCAGGTAATCTTTCATTTTGCTTACTCTACATTCTTAAAAATAACACAAATTATGCTTCTAAAAGTATAATGTTTAAAACAAGATCTAATGCTTTCTAAGAATTAATAATGATTTATACATTTCTTTTTTTTTTTTTTTTTTGAGACAGAGTTGTTCTGTCGCCAGGCGCCAGGCTGGGGTGGTACAATCTCGGCTCACTGCAACCTCCGCCTCCCGGATTCAAGCAATTCTCCTGCCTCAGCCTCCCGAGTAGCTGGGACTACAGGTGTGCACCACGATGCCCAGCTAATTTTTGTATTTTTAGTAGAGACGGGTTTTTACCATGTTGGCCGGGATGGTCTCAATCTTTTGACCTTGTGATCCTCCCGCCTCCGCCTCGCAAAGTGCTGGGATTACAGGTGTGAGCCACCGCGCCCAGCCTGGTTTATACATTTCTATAAAAAAACTATCAAATCCAACCTTAGGAAAGTCTATCTTGAGCATTATTCTACGAAACAAAATTTATATATAAGTATTTTCTTTCTTTCTTTTTTTTTTTTTTTTTTTAAAAACAGAGTGGGTCTTGCTATGTTGCCCAAGTAGGTCACAAATTCCTGGGCTCAAGCTATCCTCCACCTCTGCCTCCCTAAGTGCCGGGATAATAGCTTCTCTTTTTTTATATATATGGAAAGTCAGGGTCTCACTCTGTCACCTAAGCTGGAGTGCAGTGCTGTGATCTCACTGCAACTCCAACCTCCTGAGTTCAAGTGATCCTCCCACATTAGCCTCCCAAATAGCTAGGACTATAGACACCATGCCACCATGCCTGGCTAATTTATTTATGTTTTTATTTTTGTAGAGACAGGGTCTCCCTATGTTGCCCAGGCTGGTCTCAAACTCCCGGCGGCAACCAATCCTCCCACGTGGGCACCTAAAGTGCTAGGATTATAGGTGTGAGCCACTGTGCTCAGCCATGTAAGTATTCTTTGAACTGTTAAATTTTTATATCCCAATTTATCCTATGGACCAAAGAAAGAACCACTGATCTGAAAACAATAGAATGCACGGTATCACAGCTGAATATAATAAGGTACTAAATAGAAGCTTAAGTTTATAATTAGAACATTAAAAATATATCAAAGTGGATTTAGGTTTTTCAAAATGATGACAATTCCATTAAGATACTGACAACATTACAATTAGTAACAATTTTAATAATTCTGGCATTCTTGGCCTCTGAACAAAGACAATGTTTTAGTTCATATTTAATATATAAATTAGTTATGTCTAATCAGTACTATATTGTTAAAAAATACTTTTGATCACCTTTTTCCCATTCATTCAGTATCATTCCCAAATTAATATACTTGGCCACTTTAGCATTAACTTAAAGTGTATGCTCTTAGGACATAAATTTCTAAGAATTTAGAGTTTAGTAGAGATATGTTTTAATATAACTATTTCAAAATTCCAAAACAAAACAAAATTAGATACCTCACAGTTTTTCCAAAGTTCCGAATCAGTCTTTCCACTGTTTTGTAGCTCCTGCATTCAAGAAGTTAGGACTTCAACTGTACCTTGAATTACAGATGGTCTGGTCTTCCCTGAGAAAGAGGATACCCCATTTGTACTAAGGTGGGGACTACTTCTGTTGAAACATAAATAATTCAAATGGTTTTCTTGATTCTATCAAAGTGTTGAATAATTCAGCACTTCAAGATTTAGCAGAGCAGTACAAAACCACTGATATTTTATCCTTCTAATGGCACCTCATTGGTTGAAAATCTGATCACAAGTTGGTCCACAAAAGGAAAAAGGCAGTAAAAAGACTACACTGTGTTCTTTTTAAGAACACAACAGAAAGACCTTCTCCAGAAGTGAGGGAACACTCCAAAGGATCGGCAGAAAATAAAAAAAGTCTGTGCTAAACAATAAGATTAATTTCCAGCTTCTCTGATCTCAGCTATTCCAGAGGATTATTTCCCCCTCCTTAAGAACAGCCCTTCATTGTGCAGTGGGGATTCTTTCTCCACTGCCCCAAATGACAGTCAAATCTTGTTCACTGGATATCCTTAATTTGGTGTGATAAGCTGATGCTTATCTCTGCACTATCTCTGAATAAAAGTTGTGCCAAGCAAATTAACAGCAGATATTCAGGACTTAGCCTACTCAGTATGCAAAACAGCACTGATTCTTTCCAGGAGTACTGCTTTTCCAGACTTCAGGTAAGTTATTTCAGATTTGTTTTATAAACGCACAGTGTATTTCAGGATATTAAAATGTACTTAAAATCTAGTCACCAAAAGATCATTTTCATTTATTTCCTGCTTGATATACTGCTTTCTTTCACAAAGAATTTTTTTAAATAAATGAAAATAGTAAAATAATAGTTAGGACCGGTGAAAATATTAATAAAAATTCAAAGGAAAGAACATATGTTGCCAGTAAAGGACTTTACATAGCTGTAATAATCGCCTTTAAATGTGGCCAGCTGCCGGGCACGGTGGCTCACGCCTATAATCCTAGCACTTTGGGAGGCCGAGGCGGGTGAATCATGAGGTCAAGAGATCGAGACCATCCTGGTCAACAAGGTGAAACCCCATCTCTACTAAAAATACAAAAATTAGCTGGGCATGGTGGTATGCACCTGTAGTCCCAGCTACTCGGGAGGCTGAGGCGGAGGTTGCAGTGAGCCGAGATCGTGCCATTGCACGCCAGTCTGGGTAACAACAACGAAACTCCGTCTCAAAAAAATAAATAAATAAAAATAAAAAATAAATGTGGCCAGTTTAACTACCAGTCACAATGAAAAGGGAGACAAGTTTAATTGCCTAATTTTCACTAGCAAAGCACAGTTAGGTTCCTCCAGCCAAATCAAACACTGTGTTCTAACAGGAATATCTTCTAGAACTGTACTTTAAAGGGAACACTGGTGGGCATGGTACCTCATGCCTGTAATCCCAACATTTTGCGAGGCCAAGGTGGGCAGATCACAAGGTCAGCAGTTCAACACTAACTTGACCAACATGGTGAAACCCCACCTCTACTAAAAATACAAAAATTAAGGCCGGGCGCAGTGGCTCACGCCTATAATCCCAGCACTTTGGAAGGCCGAGGCGGGTGGATCACGAGGTCGAGAGATGGAGACCATCCTGGTATGGTGAAACCCCATTTCTACTAAAAATACAAAAATTAGCTGGGCACGGTGGCGCATGCCTGTAGTCCCAGCTACTAGGGAGGCTGAGGCAGGAGAATGGCTTGAACCCAGGAGGCGGAGGTTGTGGTAAGCCGAGATCGAGCCATTGCACTCCAGCCTGGGTAACAAGAGCAAAACTCTGTCTCAAAAAAAAAAAAATACAAAAATACAAAATAGACAGGCGTGGTGGCAGGCATCTGTAATCCCAGCTACTCAGGAGGCTGAGGCAAGAGAATTGCTTGAAACCAGAAGATGGCGGTTGCAGTGGGCTAAGATCATGCTATTGCACTCCAGCCTGAGTGACAGAGTAAGACTGTGTCTCAAAAAAGAAAGGGGACCACCAAGTAATACAAGAACCAAAATGCGTGGCCAACTTTTATCAAGTGCATATAGATTACTGTAGAACCATTTCCCATCTTTTTCTCATTTTATTTCATATACTGCTTTGTTTTTTACAACTCCCCACCCCCACTGTTTTATATACTCTTATAAGCTGCCTTAAATCCTTCTGAAAAGGGCAGAGAATTAACAATTTTTTAAGTAATGTATTTATTTATAATACACAATTTCTTCAAGACCTACTGTGTTTAAAGGTCCTTGCCTCCTTTTTTTTTTTTGAGATGGAGTCTCTCTCTGTCACCCAGGCTGGAGTGCAACGGCGCACTCTCGGCTCACAGCAACTTCTGCCTCCCGGGTTCAAGTGATTCTCCTGCTTCAGCCTCCCAAGTAGCTGGGATTACAGATGCATGCCACCACACTTGGCTAATTTTTGTATTTTTAAGTAGAGATGGGGTTTCACCATGTTTATCAGGCTGGTCTCAAACCCGACCTCGTGATCTGCCTGCCTCAGCCTCCCAAAGTGCTGGGATTACAGGTGTGAGCCACCACGCCCGGCTAGCTCCTTGCCTCTTTACCAGTAAGGCCCCCAAAATGCTGTGTTTTCCTTTCTTGTACCTGCTGTTTATCGATACTCTCTCTAACAGTCTTTTCCTCTTTGCTGTTTCTACACTACTATAAATTTAATAACCAAAATAACCAAGCTTATCAGACTATGTGCAAATTGAGAGTAAGCAGGCTCTGATGAAAAATAAGCTAACCATGATCTGTGTTAAGACCGTTAAATAAAAACAAACAGATCATGGGATAGCTTAAAAATAAAATGCATCTTAAAAAAATAAGTAAAATACACTTTGATGACATCTATTTAGTCCACTATTTTGTCTACTTAGTCTGTTTCTGTCTTAACTTCCTAATACTCAACTTTATTTATTTATTTATTTTAAAGAGACAAGGTCTTGCTATGTTACCCAGGCTGGAGTGCAGTGGCTATTCACAGGCATGATCCCACTACTGATCAGCCCTGAGTTCTGACCTGCTCCATTTCGGACCTGGGCCAGTTCACCCCTCCTTAGGCAACCTGGTGGTCCTCCCGCTCCCGGGAGGTCACCATATTGATGCTGAACTTAGTGTGGACACCCGATCGGCATAGCGCACTACAGCCCAGAACTCTTGGACTCAAGTGATCCTCCAGCCTCAGCCTCCCGAGTAGCTGGGACTACAGGCGCACAACACCGCACCTAGCAATACTCAACTTTAAGTGCTACTTTCCATCCACATTGATAAAGAATTTTTACAACATAAAACATCATTTGTTCCATTAATTTAAAAATGTAGAAATAATATTTAGGCAACTAAATGTTAAAGATATGCTTGTAATTTACTAAAAACAAACACAAAAAAAGTATAAAGGAAACTACAACAACAAAACAAGTCCTTTTTCAGAATGCTTTCCATGCAAAAGTACGTATGTCTGGGAGAAATGAAAAACATGAAAAGACTGTATCTATTCCTGACTTAAACAACTGTCCCAAAACATTCATTTTTTGAGGGGACAGAGTCTCATTCTGTCGCCCTGGCTGGAGTGCAGTGGCATAATCTTGGCTCATTACAACCTCACCTCCCGAGTTCGAGAGAATCTCCTGCCTCAGCCTCCTGAGTAGCAAGGACGACAGGCACACACCACCGCACTCAGCTAATTTTTATATTTTTAGTAGAGATGAGGTGTCACCATGTTAGTCTCCAATTCCTGGCCTCAGGCGATCCACCTGCCTCAGCCTCCCAAAGTGCTGAGATTACAGGCATGAGCCACCACACCTGGCCTCCCTGAACATTCTCAATGATAGGTTAAAAAATAATAATGGGCCGGGCACGGTGGCTCAAGCCTGTAATCCCAGCACTTTGGGAGGCCGAGGCGGGTGGATCACGAGGTCAACAGATCGAGACCATCCTGGTCAACATGGTGAAACCCCATCTCTACTAAAAATACAAAAAAAAAATTAGCTGGGCGTGGTGGCGCGTGCCTGTAATCCCAGCTACTCGGGAGGCTAAGGCAGGAGAATTGCCTGAACCCAGGAGGCGGAGGTTGTGGTGAGCAGAGATCACGCCATTGCACTCCAGCCTGGGTAACAAGAGCGAAACTCCGTCTCAAAAATAATCATAATAATAATAATGGCTGGGCACAGTGCCTCACACCTGTAATCCTACCACTCTGAAAGGCCAAGGCAGGCAGATCACAAGGTCAAGAGATCAAGACCATCCTAGCCAACATTGTAAAACCCCATCTCTACTAAAAATACAAAAATTAGCTGGGTGTGTGTCATGCACCTGTAGTCCCAGCTACTCAGGAGGCTGAGGCAGGAGAATCGTTTGAACCCAGGAGGTGGAGGTTGCAGTGAACTGAGATGGCACCACTGCACTCCAGCCTGGCAACCAGGCAAGACTCTGTCTCAAAAATAATAATTCAAATCAGTAACTATGACACTATTTAGATAAGTTGGTAAACCTATGCAAATAAAGTTATTCTGATTTGTTACATTTTTTAAAATCTCATTCTTACCTATCAGTATTTAAGTTCAGTCCAAGAAAATGAAGAGAATTTTTATTAGATTCTACAGATGAAGTTTTGTGTAAGGTTTTCACCAAGTCAAATTCTTCCATAGTGTACAGAAATTGCTATGCTCTCGTATTTGAAAATAGAGGTTCCGGGACTGTTTGAGGAAACTGAATCCATGTCATCTTCAGAGGCTTCATCGTCTACTGGCATTTTCAGTGGCTAACATTCAGAACTGTGAATATCCTAAACTTCCAAGGGAGTCTGAAAACGAATGGGGAAAAAAATACTACTATGAAAAGCCACTAATCCTAGCAATTGTTTTTTCATGACTTTGGAAACCTTGACTTCTTTCACACAGACCTCCATTAAGGATAGCAACAGTATTCATAATAATTGAAATGTAGAAACCACCCAAATGTCCATCAATAGATAAATGGATAAATGAAGCATATCTGTGGAATAGGATTCAGTCAAAAAAGGAATGACTCACTGACACATGCTACAACATAGATGAACACTGAAGATACTATGCGAAGTAAAAGAAGCTGGTCACAAAAGACCAGAGACTGTATGATTTCATCGATATGAACTATCTTGAATAGGCAAATTCATAGACAAATGGCTGCCAGGAGCTGGGGTAAGGACAAAATGGGAGTGACGGCAATTGGTATAGAGTTTCTTTTTGGGGTGATAAAAAGTTCTGGAATTAGATATTGGTGATAGCTGCAAAACCTTGTGAACTAAAACCCACTGAACTGTACACTTTTAAAAAGCTGAATTTGGCCAGGTTCGGTGGCTCATGCCTATAATCCCAGCACTTTGGGAGGCCAAGAGGGGACAGATCACCTGAGGTCGGGAGTTTAGAACCAGCCCGACCAACATGGAGAAACCCTGTCCCTACTAAGTATACAAAATTAGCCAGGCATGGTGGCGCATGCCTGTAATCCCAGCTACTTGGGAGGGTGAGGCAGAAGAATCACGAGAACCCAGGAGGCAGAGGTTGCAGTGAGCTGAGATTGCGTCACTGTACTCCAGCCTGGGCAACAAGATGAAACTCTGTTTCAAAAAAAAAATGCTGAATTTTGTGGTATGTGAATTATGTATCTCAACTAAAAATCTACATTAAGGATTATTTGCAAAACCAGCATCACCTTTTTCAGGTAATATTTCAGAATTTTGTACATTTAATAATCAAGGTTCTTTTTTTATTTTTCCTTTTTCTTTTTTTAGAAACTGCATCTCGCTATGTTGCCGCGGCTGGTCTACAACTCCTGGCCTCAAGTGTTCAGCCTTCCGAGCAGCTGGGATTACAGTACAAACCATTTTGCCAGGCTTTACAATGAAGGTTCTAGATACAATTCTGTTATGCAACAAATGGAATACTTGCATGCCTTGTCCATTTGTTTAATAAATTCTACCAAGTATATGTGTTTGTTGACATATACAGAGACAAGAAGAACTGAACTACTTAATATTTGATTTGTATTCAAAAGAGCCAATTAAACGATTGACAACCATAGCCTCCCCTATTGTCTGAAAGTACATTTTGAACTATATGATCTTTTGTCTCTGTGCAGGTATTCTTAGAAACTAAACCAGCTGGGGACAGTGGAGCCTGCCTGCAGCTACCGGGAGCATGTCCCAGCTACTCTGGAGGCTGAGGTGGGAGGATCACTTGAGCCCAGTCCAAGGCTGCAGCGAGCTATGATCCTGCCACTGCACTCCAGCTTGGGCAACAGAGCGAGACCCCATCTCTTAAAAAAAAAAAAAGGAAATACAGGAAATAAATTATTTTCCAGATCAACTAAAACTTCACTTAAGCTGAACATATATCATGTCAAATTGGCTGTAACAAGCCAAACAAGATGCCTGCTTCCCGGGGAGTTCATGCATTTAAAAAAAGAGCAAGGAGCCAGGCACGGTGGCTTACGCCTATAATCCCAGCACTTTGGGAGGCTGAGGTGGGCAGATCACCTGAGGTCAGGAGTTTGAGATCAGTCTGGCCAACATGGCGAAACCTGTCTCTAATAAAAATATAAAAATTAGCCGGGCGCAGTGGCTCAAGCCTGTAATCCCAGTACTTTGGGAGGCTGAGGTGGGCAGATCACCTGAGGTCAGGAGTTCGAGACCAGCCTGACCAACATGGAGAAACCCAATCTCTACTAAAAATACAAAATTATCAGGGCGTGGTGGCACATGCCTGTAATCCCAGCTACTTGGGAGGTTGAGGCAGGAGAATCGCTTCAACCCAGGAGGCAGAGGTTGTGGTGAGCTGAGATCGCACCACTGCACTCCAGCCTGGGCAACAAGAGAGAAACTCTGTCTCAAAAAAAAAAAAAAAAAATCGAGGGAACAAGAGAAAAAAAAGAAAAGACAACTTCAGCTGCTTACAAACTAAAAAGCTTAGAGCAACAGGCTCTAAGTATTGTCTAATACTAGACAATAGTATTGTCTAGTATTCTGCCTCCGCTAGATAGGGCCTGCGTTTATAAAGCACTACACTAAAACAGGGACCATTTCCTTCAGCGACAGGAGTGAAAGCAAAGGGTAACCGGACCTAACTAAATGGACTTTTCCCCAGTTGGCTCAGCCCATCACCCACGACAAACGGGGCATTGAAATAGTCAAGGACCGCCTTCCAAATGGCAACAGAAATATCTGGATTCCAATCACCATGCTGTTATACCAGGAAACCACGGCTTTCCAGGGAGATGGACCTGCAACCCCATCTATTATTTCCCCTGTTGAGGTAATCCGGATCCGGATGCAGATCCAGATGGAAAACCACTAGAAATTCAAGGAGGCTTCTCCACTGGGGTGGAGGTGCTGGGGGAGGGCAGGGAATTAAGAGGAAAAAAAAATCCTTAAACACCCACATATACAATGCCAAAAAAAAAATTTTTTTTAACTTGATACAGAATGAATAATAAGAACAGAGACATTTTTATATTTCCCAGCAACAAAATATGACGCTTTTGGTGTCCCCAGCCCCTAGCAAAAAAAAAAAAAAAAGGAGTTGAAGAAAAGGAACGATTGGTGGCCATGAAACATGAAAGTTAACTGGGCGCTGTGCCTCGCCGGGAGGAGATCTGAGATGGGGGTGAGGAAAGATCCTGGACACTGGCACTCAGATCCAGCCCGCGAGGGTTGGGGGCGGCTATCCGGTCAAAGTGAGAAGGAGAGGGAGAATCCATGCAGTCGCCTAAGCTACGGAAAGCAGGGAAGACGGGGAAAAGCCACCGCTCATGCAACTACAATAGGGATTCCAAGAGGAAGCCGGGACATCTCGTCAAAAAATAGGGGGAAAAGAAAAATCCCACCGACACCCCCGCCCCTCGGAAAGGGCGCTCTGCGATTGGGCCGCGCGAGTGTCACTCAAGGGCGCAGAGTCTAGAAAAGGTGCACCGCAGAGGACCAGAGCTTCCGCACGCTGCAGGGTTCCGTCGTCTCCGCACACCTCAGCCCATCACCACACTCGGGACCGCTAAGACGGTGTCTCCTAAGTCTCGTCCCCTGTCCCCCGCGGTCTACCACTTCCTGCAGGCCGGCGGCCTCTTACCTGGCAGCCACTCCCGCTGCAAATGTCAGAGTCAGGCCCGCGGCCTCTCGCGACCGTTAAACTCGAAGGAGCGTGCGCGCGTCCGGCGTCTCCCCAGTGATTGGCTGCCCGGAAGTAGGGGGAGACGGCCGAGCTTGGCGCGCGCGTCCACCTCGCCCTTCCTTCTCGCTCAGCTCCAGCCAAAGAGAGATGTCCAACCCCAGGGGCGTGACGAGGGGGAGGTATTGCTGTTAAGGTCTCTTCTCTGATTGGCTCTCTGAGAGCTTGCCGCTGCCACGCGGGAAAGAAGCCTCAGTTTCTCGCATGCGCAGTTAGTAAACTTGAGCCTCTGGCAGATGAGGGAAACCGCGACCAGAGTAGAGCGCGTGCGCAGCTCAGGGAACGCGATTGACAGTCCTCTGCTGCGGTGATTCGGTTCCCCTAAAACGTTGAGTGAAGGAGTCGGGTCCTGAGACCAGGTAAGCTTCCGCGAAGAAGCTAGGTAACAGGTAACCTTACGGCTGCCCACGCCTGTCAAGGGCTCCGGAGAGAGGACTGGGAGCCGGGACGCTTGGTTTTTCCTGGCTTGCGACCCCGAGTGGCGCAGCCAGTTAACCTGAGGCCCCTCTGTCTGTGGGGTGGGGTCGGCTCTGGGGCTGTTCAAGCACTCAGGGCAGAGGAGAAGAGAGACTACCGTCTTGGAGAAAACGGTGCCACGGAGGCCCAAGGCGAAACGGAAAGATCTTCACGTACTTAATTGAGCGGAATGGAGCTGTGAGCACGCATCAGGTGCTCTTTAAGGCCTGGCACATAGTAGGGGTCAGCACTGCCCTTGCTGGGCTTTTGTGGAGATTTTTTTTTTTAAGAGATGGGGAGGGTCTCACCATGTTGCCCAGTCTGGTCTCGTACTCCTGACCTCAAGCGATCCTCCTTCCTCAGCCTCCCAAAGCTCTGGTGGAATCACAGACATGAGCCACCGCGTCCTACTTCTAAAGGACTGCAAGGAACCCGCTCTCCTTCCCATGGGTTTCCAGCTCATTTCATGCGCACTGTGCAGGCCACGTTCTTCATGCTAGTTAACCTTTAAGGTCCTAGATTTCCCTCCAGGAGTCCTGGCTCACAGTAAAGGGACTTCCCTGGGACTATCACTTAGTCCTCCACGACACAGGAAATGGATTTGCCCTTGGAATAACGGATCTGCCAGGAGGCGTTCCATCTCCTTGGAGCTTCCTAGGTATACTTATCAATTATTTTTATTTTATTTTATTTTATTTATTATTTATTTATTTTGAGACAGTCTTGCTCTGTCGCCAGGCTGGAGTGCAATGGCACAATCTCGGCTCACTGCAACTTCCACCTCCCGAATTCAAGCGATTCTCCTGCCTCAGTCTCCCAAGTATCTGGGACTACAGGCGCATGCTACGACGCCCAACTAATTTTTGTATTTTAGTAGAGACGAGGTTTCATCATGTTGGCCAGGATGGTCTCGATATCTTGACCTTGTGATCTGCCCGCCTCGTCCTCCCCAAAGTGCTGAGATTACAGGCATGAGCCACTTCGCCCAGCCCTATTTTTATTTTTTACTTTTTTTGTGTGGCAGGGGGACAGAGGCTCCCTCTGTCACCCAGGCTGGACTGCAATGGTGCGATCTCAACTCACTTTAACCTCTGCTTCCTGGGTTCAAGCGATTCTGCTGCCTCAGCCTCCCGAGTAGCTGGGACTACAAGTGCCTGCCACCACACACGGCTACTTTTTTGTATTTTTAGTAAAGATGGGGTTTTGCCACGTTGCACAGTCTGGTCTCGAACTCCTGACCTCAAGTCAGCATCCTGCCTCAGCCTCCCAAAGTGCTGGGATTACAGGCATGAGCCACTGCACCTGTCAATTTTTAAACTGCGAATTTGGTATTTCCTGTCTTTTTATTCTATGACATAATTCCAGAAGATATTTGTTTAAACTAGGACTTGCTTCACTGAAAATGGTTTTATCTTTCAGCATGAGCCTCCTGGGAAGTCGGCCTTTTTTCTTTGACATCACAATGATCTCCTTGGTACTTGATTGCACAGACCAGAATTATGACCCCACCAAATAGCATGTTTTCAGTAATGCCACGGTTTTCAAGTACTTCTTACTGTACCAAGTAAAATAATTGGCAAGTCACTGTTCTAGATGCCTTTTCACCCTAAGCGCTAAAACAAAAGCCCATGACATAATCAGTTCCCAGATTGGGTTTGTGTCATTACCACAGCATATGTGGTGTGTCATTCTAAAGTTCCTCAGCCTTGTAGTTGAGAGGTCTGACATGCTCCCATTTAGTGAGCACTAAGTGCTTTACATTTGTGGCAACATGTATGATTTTGTTCTCTAGGTGGTAGTGTCTCCATTTTACAGATGAGGAAATAGGGCCAAAGTTGCCCACTGAATGCAGATCTGTTGGCCACAGAGCTCACACTCCTCAGCAGTAGGGCCTTTCTGGGACAAAAGAAGAAATGAGAGAAGTCGTCAGACAGAGAAAGTCAGGCTGGTCCAATAGTAGAGAGTTATCTTTTTTTTGTTTTTGTTTTTTTTAAGTAGTAAGTTATCTTAATTGATTGTTTATAGTCACAGATCAAACTCCTTGTTCTACTCTTTCCCTCTTCTCTACTCTACCTGACTAGTCTTTTTAAAAAGAGAGAGTTGAGGCCGGACACTGTGGCTCACACCTGTAATCCCAGCACTTTGGGAGGCCGAGGCGGGTGGATCACGAGGTCAAGAGATCGAGACCATCCTGGTCAACAAGGTAAAACCCCGTCTCTACTAAAAATACAAAAAAATTAGCTAGGCATGGTGGTGTGTGCCTGTAATCCCAGCTACTCAGGAGGCTGAGGCGGGAGAATTGCCTGAACCCAGGAGGCGGAGGTTGCAGTGAGCCGAGATTGCGCCATTGCACTCCAGCCTGGGTAACAAGAGCGAAACTCCGTCTCAAAAAAAAAAAAAAATGGAGAGAGAGAGAGTTGGTCGGGCGTGGTAGCTCATTCCTGTACTCCCAGCACTTCAGGAGGCCGAGGAGATGGAGCACTTGAGGTCAGGAGTTCAAGACTAGCCTGGTCAACATGGTGAAACCTCGTCTCTACTAAGAATACAAAAATTAGCTGGGCATGGTGGCTAGTGCCTATAATCCCAGCTGCTCAGGAGGCTGAGGCAGGAGAATTGCTTGAACTCAGGAGGTCTAGGTTGTGGTAAGCCAAGACCATGGCACTGCACTCCAGCCTGGGCAACAGAGTGAGACTCTGTCTCAAAAAACTAAATAAATAAAAATTTAAAAAATAAAAAGTTAAGGAAAAGGAGCTAACATTGCCTAAGGAACTGGAAAAAGATCTGGAGATATTATGAAAGGTAATGAACAAACTATAGAAAGGATAATTTAATTTCAAAAATTAAAAACCTAATGGTCTTCCAAGATAGATCTTCCTGAGATAATCAGGAAGTGGGTATCTCTTATTTTCTTTATTTGCATTAAATACAATAATGTATTTGAAGTCCTCTGCAGCTGGATGTGGTGGTTCACATCTATAGTCCCATCACTTTGGGAGAGTGAGGCAGGAGGATTGCTTGAGCCCATGATTCGAGACCTACCTGGGCAATATGGCAAGACCCTGTCTCTACAAAAAATTTAAAACAGGCCAGGTGTGGTGGCACACACCTGTGGTCCCAGCTACTGGGGAGGCTGAGGCAAAGAGGCGTGCTTGAGCCCAGGAGATTAAGGCTGCACTGAGCCATTTTTATGCCACTGCACTCCACTTGGGCGACAGAGGGGGACCCTGTCTCCAAAAAAAAAGAAAGTGCTTTGGTTTGGATATGTTTAAGTCCTAAACAAATACAAGCCATCATTAATAGTAATATAGACTTTGAGACTTTTAGAAGAAAATATACTGTGTTGTTATTGCTGCTTTGCTAATTTGTTTCTGTTTTATTGGTGTAGTTGATAAATTGTTAAGATCCTGTTAGATGTTATGAATTGAAGAAATATGGGGCAGGGCATGGTGGCTTATGCCTCCCAGCACTTTGGGAGGCGAAGGCAGGGGGATATCCTAAGCTCAGGAGTTTGACACCAACCTGGGCAACACGGTGAAACCCTGTCTCTACTAAAAATACAAAAAATAAGCCAGGCGTGGCAGCGCGGGCCTGTAGTCCCAGCCACTCAGGAGGCTGAGGCAGGAGAATTGCTTGAACCTGGGAGGTGGTGGTTGCAGTGAGCCTAGATTGAGCCACTGCACTCCAGCCTGGGCGACAGAGCAAGACTCTGGCTAAAAAAAAAGAAGAAGAAGAAGAAATATGATACACACAAATAGGACAGGTTTAATTCTGCAGATTCAAAGTTTTCTGCTTAAAAAAAAAATAAACGGGGCAGGGCACAGTGGGACACACCTGTAATCCTAGCACTATGGGAGGCCGAGGTGGGCACACCACCTGAGGTCAGGAGTTCGAGACCAGCCTGGCCAACATGGTGAAACCCTGTTTCTACTAAAAATACAAAATTAGCCGGGCATGATGGCGGGTGCCTGTAGTCCCAGCTACTTGAGAGGCTGAGACAGGAGAATCTCTTGAACCCAGGAGGCAGAGGTTTCAGTAAGCCGAGATCCAGCCATTGCACTCCAGCCGGTGTGACAAGAACGCAACTCCAGCTCAAAAATAAAATTTAAATGAACGAGATGTTGGGATTGTGTAAAGTGAATGTTTTCCTTTTTACTTCATTAGCTGTCTCTTGAATTCTGCAGCATTAAGCTTTCAAGCATTAAGCCTGTTAAGTTTAGACCAGACCTAGAATAGTCTTCTTTTCCTCCTGTCCCCCAAAATCAAAGACAACAGCTCTGCATTTCCTTTGTTTTCTTTTTTTTTTTTTTTTTGAGATGGAGTTTCACTCTTGTTGCCCAGGTTGGAGTGCTGTGGTGCAATCTCAGCTCGCTGCAACCTCCACCTCCTGGGTTCAAGCAATTTTTCTGGCTCAGCCTCCCAAGTAGATGAGATTACAGGTACCTGCCCCCACACCCAGCTAATTTTTGTAGTTTTAGTACAGACAGGGTTTCACCATGTTGGCCAGGCTGGTCTCGAACTCCTGACCTCAGGTGATCCCCCCCGCCTCGGCCTCCCAAAGTGCTGGGATTACAGGCATGAGCCACCATGCCCAGCTAGCAGCTCTGTATTTTCCTGCTCAATCTATTTTGCTTTCCTTGTTTGAGAAATAACTATCTGCCAGTGGCTCACAGCTATAATCCCAGTACTTTGGGAGGCCGAGGCGGGTGGATCACAAGGTCAAGAGATCGAGACCATCTTGGTCAACATGGTGAAACCCTGTCTCTACTAAAAATACAAAAATTAGCTGGGCATGGTGGTGCACGCCTGTAGTCCCAGCTACTCGGGAGGCTGAGGCAGGAGAATTGCCTGAACCCAGGAGGCGGAGGTTGCAGTGAGCCAGGATTGCACCATTGCACTCCAGCCTGGGTAACAAGAGCAAAACTCTGTCTCAAAAAAAAAGAGAGAGAGAAATAATTATCTCCAAACACTGTGAGTGAAGCATGCTTTATCTTCATTGTAAAACCTGAAGTCTAGGAAATGGCAAAATCTGTTTCAAGCCTGACCACTGATACTCATTGGTTCCACTAGAGAGGTTTCAGCCCTTAAGGATTTCAGGCACCTACAGCAGGAGGATGAGCTAACAGGAAGATGTGAAAGACAGAGAAAGGCTACTTTCTTTTTTAACTCCCATTTTACAGAGAGCAGCAGAACACTTTTTTTTTTTTTTTTTGAGATGGAGTCTCACTGTGTTGCCCAGGCTGGAGTGCAGTGGCGCAACTTCAGGTCACTGCAACCTCCGCCTCCCAGGTTCAAACAATTCTCCTGCGTCAGCCTCCCAAATAGCTGGGACTAAAGGTGCTCTACTTTAGTAGAGAGGGGGGGTTTCACCATGTTGCCCAGGCTGGTCTCAAACTCCTGATCTCAAACAATCTGCCTACCTCAGCCTCCCAAATTGCTAGGATTACAGATGTGAGTGACCGCACCCGGCCCAAAACAGGTTTTTGAAACATGAATTATTAAGCGTTTCTCAGAAAATCATTCTCCCCTCACTTAGCTTCTGGCACCACCTGCTGGCCATTTTGTTTTTTCAAAGCTGCAACGTTGCACGTTGGTCTGTTTAACCTCAATGTTATCTGGCCCTTAGCTGTTTATTAGGTCATTGTTTTGAGATCTATGGTTTCATCTCCTTTTTAAGGAAGAGACAAGACTGAATAAGCAGGTAATTGGCCCTCCTGAATTCTTGTCTCAACCTCTTAAATGTTATATAAATATAAGAAACAGACATGGTGGCTCATGACTGTAATCCCTGTCACCTCTGTGAGGCTGAGGCAAGCAGACTGCTTGAGTTCAGGAGTTTGAGACCAGCCTGGGCAACATGATGAAACCCCATCTCTACTAAAAATACACACACAAAAAATAATAATAACCAGACGTGGTGGTGGGGCGGGGTGGGGTGCCTGTAATTCTAGCTACTCGGGATGCTGAGGAAGGAGAATCAGTAGAACCTGGAAGGCGGAGGTTTCGGTGAACTGAAATCACACCATTGCACTCCAGCCTGGGGACAGGGTGAGACTCCGTCTCAAAAAATAAAAAAAATAATAATGCAGAGCCTCAGCTGTGCACGGTGGCTTACATCCGTAAGCCCACCACTTTCAGAGCCGAGGCAGTGGATCATCTGAGGTCAGGAGTTTGAGACCAGCCTGGCCAACATGGTGAATCTTGTCTCTACTAAAAACACAAAAATTAGTCAGGCATGGTGGCACATGGCAGTAATCCCAGCTACTCAGGAGGCTGAGGCAGAAGAATCATTTGAATCTGGGAGGTGGAGGTTGCAGTGAGCCGAGATCATGCCACTGCATTGCAGCCTAGGCAACAAAGCGAGACTCTGTCTCAAAGAAAAAAAAAAAAGAAGAAATGCAGAGCCTCAGGCCTTGCCCCAGACCTAATGAACCAGCATTACAATTCGCAAGACTCCCAGGTGATTTTTATGCATGTTAAAGTTTGCATGGTGAGACTGGCTGGTGAACACTTTAACAATCATCTTTCCTTTTTTTTTTTTTTTAACAATCATCTTTCCTAAAGCACCCTGTTTCAGTTAGTCTCCACATCTGTTCCTTCAGTTAGTTTTAATTAAGTTTCTGCAAGGTTGATGTACCATGAAAGTTGTAGCTAAGGAAAACTAGTGCTTTACCTTTAAAAAAAAAAAAAACGCTTAAACAATGAATTTTAGATACATGGCATTCAGAAAGCAGGTCTAGAGACTGACATCTCATGCTTTCCTGAAAATAGATTCAAATATCCTTTATTTTATTTTATTTTTGACAAAGTCTCACTCTGTAGGCCAGGCTGGAGTGCAGTGGCATGATCGTGGCTTACCACAACTTCCACCTCCCGGGTTCAAGCGATTCTCCTGCCTCAGCCTCCCGAGTAGCTGGGATTACAGGCGTGTGCCACTGCACCTGGCTAATTTTTTGTATTTTTAGTAGAGATGGAGTTTCACCATGTTAGCCAGGCTGGTCTTGAACTCCCGACCTCAGGTAATCCGCCCCCCTCGGCCTCCCAAAGTGCTGGGATTACAGGCATGAGCCACCATGCCCGGCCTCAACTATCCTTTATCCTTTTCAGAGACACTAAATCAAAGGTTTTACCATCCTACTCTCTCCAGAGAGCTCTTGGTGACACAGTATCACCTCCTACATCTAGGCTTTTATTTTGGGTTTTTTTTTTGTTTTTTTTTTTTTAATAAAAGAGATAGGCCAGGTACAGTGGCTCATGCCTGTAATCCCAACAATTTTGGAGGGCAAGGCGGGTGGATCATGAGGTCAAGAGATTGAGACCATCCTGGCTAACATGGTGAAACCTCGTCTCTACTAAATAGACAAAAAATTAGCTGGGCATGGTGGCACGTGCCTGTAGTCCCAGTTACTTGGGAGGCTGAGGCAGAAAAATCGCTTCAACCCGGGAGTGAGATAAGATCGCACCACTGGACTCCAGCCTGGGTGACAAAGCGAGACTCCGTCTCAAAAACAAAACAGAGAGATGGAGTCTCACTATGTTGCCCAAGCTGATCTTGAACTCTCAGCCTCATACAGTACTCCCACTTCAGCTTCCCAAGTAGCTGGGATTACAGGCATCTACTACCATACCCAACTAATTTATTTTTTTTCTGAGATGGAGTTCCACTCTTATTGCCCAGGCTGGGGTGCAATGCCATGATCTCAGCTCACCACAACCTCTGCCTCCCAGTTCAAGCAGTTCTCCCAGTTTAGCCTCCCAAATAGCTGGGATTATAGGCGCCCATAGCCACACACAGCTAATTTAGTTTTTAGATTGAGTTTTGCTCTTGTTGCCCAGGCTGGAGTGCGATTGTGCTTTCTCAGCTAACCACAGCCTCCACCTTCCGGGATAAGTGATTCTCCTGCCTCAGCCTCCCAAGTAGCTGGGATTACAGACATGTGCCACCACACCTGGCTAACTTTGTATTTTTAGTAGAGACAGAGTTTCTCCATGTTGGTCAGGCTGGTCTCAAACTCCCAACTTCAGGTGATCTGCCTGCCTCGGCCTCCCAAAGTGCTGGGATTACAGGCGCAAGCCACCACACCCAGCCCAATTTTTTGTATTTTTCATAGAGACAGGGTTTCGCCATGTTGGCCAGGCTAGTCTCGAACTCCTGGCCTCAGGTGATCCACCTGCCTCGACCTCCCAAAGTACTGGGATTACAGGCGCAAGCCACCATGCCCAGCCTATTTTGTGTTTTAGAGATGAGATCTCCCCATGTTGCACGGCTGGACACAGCTCCTGTGCTCAAGCAATCCTCCCACCTCAGCCTCCCAAGTAGCTGGGACTGTAGGCTATATCTTCTAGTTTTAATCTGTGATTGTTTGCTTCAGCCACAGGCCTTGTTGCAGAGTTGAACATGCCATCCCTGCAGATAGTCTGTCTTGGTTTGGGTTGAATGGAGGAGGGGGTATGATGACCAGATCTAGTCATGAAGGAGGCCACTCAGTAGCACATAGGTTTCAAGTCTGACAGTAAGCTCTCCAGGAGGTTGAGGGGCATAGAAAGTTTGAGAACCCCTGCTCTGTAGTATGTGCTCCATCCTCAGCTATGGCACGTATCCGGTTTGTGCACTTCTTCATTTCTCTTTTTTGCTGCAAACTCTCCAAGCTCCCTGAAGCCCATGCCTAACACTCAATAGATGTTTAAAATATTCTTGCACAAATTAATGTTCCTTTTTGTAAATTCCTTAGACCTGTTATCTCTGAACTTAACCAAATTGTAAGGTACTCAGGCAACCATGGGAGCTTTCACCTTAACGGCAATCAGCCATTCAGTACAGAAGCCATCTTCAAAGGAAAAGTAGAGCCGAGGGAGTCAGGGTGGAGCACCAGCCCTACACTGAAGCTCACATTTGAAGAAAGGAACTGGGGCAGAGCTGTCATGACTGCTGGTTTCCTCTTACTAGCACTTCTGTGTACCATTTTTCTTTATCTCTTTTTTCATGTCACAGTGAGCTATAATTTGAGCTGCTTTTATTGTTCCCTAAAGACTGGATCATTCTGTGAGTATCGCAAAAACTGAAATCCAATTCGGTTTTTTTTGGGGGGCTTTGGGGAAGTGGAACCATGGGTGTGTTTGTCATTTTTAGCAGTTGTTGGAGTAGGGCCAGAGCTCCAGGAGATGCTAAAAGTGTCTAGAATTGTCTGGTTGGCTGTTGGAATTAACTGTTAAACAAAGCAGCCAGTAACTGAACACAGGGAACCTTCTTGAACCCCAGTTGGGTGGGAGACCTTCCAGTGTGTCTGGCAGCTCTGAACTAGGACAAAAAGGTAGAGATTCAAACACTGGACTGGTGACAAAGCGTCGATAAAAGCACTTTCCTCTCCATCCTTTGTCTGGGAGTCTCGCCTTGTCTTGGGATCACTTCCTCTGTTTGTCATTATACTATGCACCAGCGCTGTCCTGCCAGGTCAGATTTACCAGCTAGCGGATGAGAAACTCAGAGAGGTGTGGGGCTCATGTTCCTTAATGAATTGAATCTGGCATTACAGGCTGCCTGATACACAAAGGGATTTTGTTTTGTGGATCGAAAACAGGAATAAGGAAAGATAAGTTTTGGATATTGACTTAGTTTATTCACTTAATTATTCGTAGGTAAGGAGATTCTTTGTTGTAGAGAGTTCAGAAGAAGTGCCCGGGTTTATTATTTATGTTTTTCTAAGCCATTTCATTTTATATGCATTTCATACACATTAAAACCAATTTTTAAAACACCACTTTCCTTGGCACGCTCCATTTTGAAGTATATCCCTTCACAGTCATGGAGCACCTTGCCAATACCATCTTTTAAAAAAAAATTTTTCCTGCTGAGCAGTCTGGGGAAGAAAAAAAAATAAAAAACAATTTTTTTTTGCTTTTCTTTGACTTTTTAATTGCTTTTACTTTGTTTTGTTTTTGAGACAGGGTCTTACTGTGTCACCCAGGCTGAATGCAATGGCGCAATAACAGTTCACTGCAGCCTCAACCTACCAGGCTCAAGCCACCCTCCCATCTCAGCTTCCTGAGTAGTGGAACTATAGGCTCAGACTACCACACTCAGCTAATTTGTTATTTTTGTGTAAAGGTGGGGTCTCACTATGTTGCCCAGGCTTTGCTTTTCTTTTTTTACACAACACAAGTATAGGCAGTACCGTCTTAATTATCACCCACTAGGACTGACAACACATTGATTATCACAAGAAGAACACATGGGTTTAGATCGTGATGTTAGTCGTGGAACTAAAAACTAGCATTGGCATTATATTTATTTCCCATAGAAACAGCAGAAGCAGGCCAGGCGTGATGACTCACGCCTGTAATCCCAGCACTCTGGGAGGCCGAGGCAGATGGATCATGAGGTCAGGAGTTCGAGACCAGCCTGGCCAACATGGTGAGACCCCGTCTCTACTAAAAATACAAAAATTAGCTGGGCGTGGTGGTATGCACCTGTAGTCCCAGCTACTCGGGAGGCTGAAGCAGGAGGCTTGAACCCGGGAGGCAGAGGTTGCAGTGAGCCAAGATCACAACACTATACTCCAGCCTGGGCGACAGAGTAAAGACTCACATCTCAAAAAAAAAAAAAAAACAGCAGAAGTAGAGATGAAGAATATTGTATTGTCATTCTAAAGGTGACCAGTGTCATCTCAGTATCAGCTATACTGGTTATTAATGTAGAAGCTTACATGTAACAGGCAGGAAATGCACATGTTTACAAGAAAGCAATGCCTGATTCTGTGTCCCCATCCAGCTTCCTCGTGGGTGGGTATCTGGATTTCACAGTGGGCTCAGGAGATTGCAGCAGGCCCAGGGGAAGTTGACCAAGGATGAGGAGGACAGGCTGAAAGCAAACCTGGGGAATAATCTGCTGGATATCCAGTTACCTTAGAAGCTGGCTCCCACCTAGATCAGAGGCCAGTTGCCATGACTACAGTTTACAAGGTTTCAAATGGTAAAAGAAGCTATTAAGAGCCTCATGAGGCAGTTGTTTAAAATGGCAGCACAGGCTGGGCATGGTGGCTTACACCTGTAATCCCAGAACTTTGGGAGGCTGAGGTGGGTGGATCACCAGAGGTTGGGAGTTCGAGGCCAGCCTGACCAACATGGAGAAACCCCGTCTCTACTAAAAATACAAAATTAGCCAGGCGTGGTGGCACATGCCTGTAGTCTCAACTACTCGGGAGGCTGAGGCAGGAGAATCACTTCGACCTGAGAGGCAGAGGTTGCAGTCAGCTGAGATTGCACTATTGCACTCCAGCCTGGGCAACAAGAGCAAAACTCCATCTCAAAAAAAAAAGGCAGCACATCTGTGTTTTTAGTGCCTATGTAATCCTCAATAAAGATGCTCTAAACAAGTGGTACATTTGCAGTTCCCATAATCCACCTGGGTGACAGATTTTACTACAAATCAGTCTCAGGCCTTGAAAGGTATCAACAAAGCCCTTTCCAGAATACCTTTTTCTCTTTTTTTTTGAGGTGGAGTCTCACTCTGTTGCCCAGGCTGGAGTGCAGTGGCAAGATTTCACCGCAACCTCCGCCTTCCAGGTTCAAGGGATTCTCCTGCATCAGCCTCCCGAGTAGCTGGGAGTACAGGTGTGCAACACCATACTATGCTAATTTTTATATTTTTAGTAGAGACAGGGTTTCACCATGTTGGCTAGACTGGTCTCAAATCCTAACCTTGTGATCTGCCCGCCTTAGCCTCCCAAAGTGCTGGGATTACCGGCGTGAGCCATCGCGCCCAGCCTCTCTGATCTTTTTTAAGCATATATGAAATAGATGAGAGGGCTAATTCACCCATTTTCCAGGTGAGAAAGCAGGCCAGGTTGCAACTTGCCCCTCTTTGCATGGAAGACCTTTCAGATCCTTCTACCTTTTGCCCCTTAAAAACAAAAACCGGCCAGGCAGGCACAGTGCCTCACGCCTGTAATCTCCACACTTTGGGAGGCCAAGGTGGGCGGATCACCTGAGGTCGGAGTTTGAGATTAGCCTGGCTAACATATGGTGAAACTCCATTCCTACTAAAAGTACAAAAAATTAGCTGGGCATGGTGCCTGTAATCCCAGCTACTTGGGAGGCTAAGGCAGGAGAATCACCCAAACTTGGGAGGCAGAGGTTGCAGTGAGCCAAGATCACACCATTGCACTCCAGCTTGGGCAATAAGAGCGAAACTCCATCTCAAAAAAAAAAAACAAGGCCGGGCGCAGTGGCTCACGCCTATAATCCCAGGACTTTGGGAGACCAAGGGGGGTAGATCACAAGGTCAGGAGATGGAGACCATCCTGGCTAACATGGTGAAACCCTGTCTTTACTAAAAATACAAAAAATTAGCTGGGTGTGGTGGCGCACACCTGTAGTCCCAGTTACTTGGGAGGCTGAGGCAGGAGAATTGCTTGAATACTGGCAGGCGGAGGTTGCAGGCAGAGATTGCATAGCAGTGAGCCGAGATAGTGCCACTGCACTCCAGCCTGGGCAACAAAGCAGGACGCCATCTCAAAAAAAAAACCTGTGGGACTTGCCATATCCTTACAGCTACTATTCTTTTGTTAACTAAGTCGTTTCAACCTTATGTTGCCAGTGGCTATTTAAATCTTTTATTGTTAAATAACACTGTCTTTTTCTTTTTTTCCTTAAGTTATCGGGGTTCAAGTGATATTTGGTTACATAAGTTCTTGAGTGATGATTTGTGAGATTTTGGTGTACATATCACCCAATATACACTGCGCCATATTTGTAGTCTTTTAATCCCTTGCCCCCTTCCACTCTTCCTCCGGAGTCCCTAAAGTCCATTGTATCATTTTTTTTGTTTGTTTTTTGAGAGGGAGTTTTGCTCTTTCGCACAGGTTGGAGTGAAGTGTTGTGATCTTGGCTCACTGAAACTCCACCCCCACCACCACCAGCACCCCAAGTTCAAGCAATTCTCCTGCCTCAGCCTCGCGAGTAGCTGGGATTATAGGCACTCACCACCACTCCCAGCTAATTTTCATGTTTTTAGTATAGACAGGGTTTCACCATGTTGGCCAGGCTGGTCTTGAACTCCTAACCTCAGGTGATCCACCCCTTTGGCCTCCCAAAGTGCTAGGATTACAGGCTGAGCCACTGCACCTGGCCCAGTATATCATTCTTATGACATTGCGTCCTCATAGCTTAGCTCCCACCTATCAGTGAGGACATACAATGTTTGGTCTTCCATTCCTGAGTTACTTCACTTGGAATCATAGTCTCCCATCTCATCCAGGCCACTGCAAATGGTGTTAATTCGTACCTTTTCGTGGCTGCATAGTATTCTGTCATGTATATATGTATATATATATGTGGCTCACGCCTGTTTTATTTATATATATATATTTATATATATATATATATATATATATATATCACAGTTTTTTTATCCACTCATTGATGGGCATTTGGGTTGGTTCCACAGTTTTGCAACTGTGAATTGTGCTGCTATAAACATGCAAGTATCTTTTTCGTATAATGACTTCTTTTCCTCTGGGTGGATACCCAGTAGTGGGATTGCTGGATCAAATGGTAGTTCTACTTTCAGTTCTTGAAGGAATCTCTGCACCGTTTTCCATAGTGGCTCTACTAGTTTACATTCTCATCAGCAGTGTAGAAATGTTCCCTGTTCACCTCTTCCATGCCAACATCTACTGTTTTTTGATTATGACAATTCTTGCAGGAGTAAGATGGTATCACATTGTGGTTTTGATTTGCATTTCCCTGATCATTAGTGATGTTTAGCATTTTTTCTTTTTTTTTGAGACGGAGTTTCGCTCTTGTTACCCAGGCTGGAGTACAAGGGCGCGATCTCGGCTCACCGCAACCTCCGCCTCCTGGGTTCAGGCAATTCTCCTGCCTCAGCCTCCCGAGTAGCTGGGATTACAGGCATGTGCCACCATGCCCAGCTAATTTTTTTTTTTGTATCTTTAGTAGAGACGGGGTTTCACCATTTTGACCACGGGGTTTCACCATTTTGACCAGGATGGTCTGATCTCTTGACCTCGTGATCCACCCGCCTCGGCCTCCCAAAGTGCTGGGATTACAGGCTTGAGCCACCGCGCCCAGCATTTAGCATTTTTTCATATGCTTGTTAACCATCTGTGTATCTTCTTTGAGAATTTGTATATCTTCTGTCACCAGGCTGGAGTGTAGTGGAGCGATCTTGGCTCACTGCAACCTCCGCCTCCCGGATCCAAGCGATTCTCCTGCCTCAGCCTCCCGAGTCACTGGGACTACAGGGGCACGCCACCATGCCTGGCTAATTTTTCTATTTTTTTAGTAGAAACAGGGTTTCATCGTATTGGACAGGCTGGTTTGGAACTCCTGACCTCATGATCCACCTGTCTCAGCCTCCCAAAGTGCTGGGATTACAAGCGTGAGCCACCGCACCCAGCCTTTTTTCTTTAAGCTATCTATTTCCCTGAATATTTCTCCCTTCACTTCTTGTATCATTTTTTTTATTTCCTTACATTGGGCTTCACTCTCTCTGGTTTCTCCCTGATTAACTTCCTGAATTCTTTTTCAGGTAAATCAGGGATTTCTTCTTGGTTTAGATCCATTGCTGGTGAACTAGTGTGTTTTTTGCGGGATGAAGAGCCTCGTTTTGTCATATTAGCAGGGTTGGTTTTCTGGATCCTTCTCATTAGGGTAGGCTCTGTCAGAAGGAAGGTCTAGGGCTGAAGACTGTTTAGATTCTCTTGTCCCAGAGGGTGTTCTCTTGACATAGTACTCTACCCCTTTTCCTATGGATATGGCTTCCAGTGAGCCGGACTTGCAGTGATCGTTGTCTCTCTTCTGGGTCTAGCCACCCAGCAAGTCTTCCTAGTTCCTGGCTGGTACTGGAGGTTATCTGCACAGAGTCCTGTTATATGAACCGTCGACGGGGTCTCTCAACCATGGATCCCAGTGCCTGTTCTGGTGGAGGTGGCAGAGGGTGCAGTGGACTCTGTGAGGGTCCTTAGCTTTGGTGGTTTAATGTTCTATTTTGTGCTGGTTGGCCTCCTGCCAGGAGGTGGTGCTTTCCAGAAAGCATCAGCTGTGGTAGTATTCGGGAGGAACCAGCAGTGGGTGGGGCCCTAGAACTCCCAAGATTAGCCCTTTGTTTTCCTACCAGGGTGGATAGGGAAGGACCATTGGGTGGGACAGGGCTAGGCGTGTCTGAGCTCACTCTCCTTGGGCAGATCTTGCTGCAGCTGCTGTCCGGGATGGGATTGAGATTCCCAGGTCACTGGAATTGTGTACCTAGGAGAATTATGGCTGCCTCTGCTGAGTCATGCAGATTATCAGTGAAGTGGGAGAAAGCCAGCAGTCACAGGCCCAGCTCCCAGGCAAATGGAAGGGCCAGTCTCACTCCCACCATATCCCCCCAACAGCCCCCAGTCTGTTTCCAGGCAGAGATGAAACAGGCTTAAAAACTTGCCCAAGTCTGTTTGCCTCCCAGCTGTAAGAAAAGGGCTGTAGTTTTTCCCTACCTGTGAAGTCTGCATGCTGGATTGGTGCCCTTCCCCAAGTCCTGGCCAGGAGGCTTCTTGCTTTATTCAAATTGTTACAAAGTTCAACTAGAGAATCCCTTCTCCCTGTGGAGTTTTACCCCCTGCTTCTCTGACCACCCTCCCTCCCAATGGATCCCTGTGGTGCCATGCAGGAATGGGCTGCTTGGGGACCCAGTGAGTTCCCAGGGCCTTTCTGCTGCTTACTCTACCCCTGTGTTTTGATCAGCTAGGTCTAACTCAGCTCTGATAGTCTGAAAATTCTCCCGCAAACAGACCTTCACCTTCTCCAGTGGAGGGTGTATGTTCAGGAGAGGAGGGTCTCCCTTTCCCATTTTCACAATTGAGGCACTCACATTATTTGGGGGTCTCCCAGGTCCTGCAGGAGCAGTCTACTTCCTTCAGAGAGTCTGTGGATCCTCTCAGGATTGCTGGTTGGTTCTTGCAGTCGATCTGGAGCTAAAATTCACAGTGCAAGCCTCTGCATGCTGCTCTGTCTGAAGCTGCAATCTAGTCCTGCCTCCTGTCCACCATGATCTCAGAAGCTTCCACGCAAATAAATTATGATCACAAGGTCCCACAATATGCTGTCTGCAAGCTGAGGAGCAAGGAGAGCCAGTCCGAGTCCCAAAACTGAAGAACGTGGAGTCCGACGTTCAAGGGCAGGGAACATCTAGCATGGGAGAAAGATGTAGGCTGAGAGGCTAGGCCTGTCTTGTCTTTTAAAATCTTCTCTAACTAACCTGTTAAGTTCCATGAAGACAGCCTAGCTCTTTTTCATCTCAGGTCCCTCACTATGCCTAACAAGGACCTTATTAAAAGTTAGTTGAGGCTGGGCGCCATGGCTCATGCCTGTAATCCCAGCACTTTGGGAGGCTGAGGCGGGTGGATCATGAAGTCAGGAGTTCAAGGTCAGCCTGGCCAAGATGGTGTAGCCCTGTCTCTACTGAAAATACAAAAATTGCTGGGTGTGGTGGTGGGTGCTTGTAGTCCCAGCTACTTGGGAGGCTGAGGCAGAGAATCACTTGAACCTGGGAGTCGAAGTTTGCAGGAGCCGAGATTATGCCTCTGCACTCCAGCCTGGGTGACAGAGCGAGACTCCGTCTCACACACACAAAAAAAAGTTGACAGCCTGGGTGCACTGGCTCACACCTATAATGCCAGCATTTTGGGAGGCTGAGGCAGGTGGATTACCTGAACTTAGGGGTTTAAGACCAGCCTGGGAAACATGGTGAAACCCCATCTCTACAAAAAAAATAATTACTAGGTGTGGTGGTGTGTGCCTGTAGTCCCAGATGACTCACCTGACCCTGGGGAAGTCAAGACTGCAGTAAGCTGTGATCACGCCACTGCAGTCCAGCCTGCACGACAGAGTGAGACTCTTGTCTCAAAAAAAAAAAATTAGTTGACTTGGTAGTTCCAATGATGAGTACCAGTTGGACCATATTACTGGCAGTGCATCCAGGGGAACAGATGTTCCCATTCAAATCCATGAAACTGGAAACAAAAAAACAACAATCATGACATTGATTGATAGTGATGTTTACTATGTCAGACTGTTTAAGCTCAGCTATAAAATAGACTCTCAGCCCGGTGCAGTGGCTCACGCATGTAATCCCACCACTGCGGGAGGCTGAGGCAGGAGGATCATCTGAGGTCAGGAGTTCAAGACCCGCCTGGCCAACATCGTGAAACCTCGCCTCTACTAAAAATATAAAAATTAGCCAGGCGTGATAGCATGCGCCTGTAATCCCAGCTACTGGGCAGGCTGAGGCAGGAGAATCACTTGAACCCAGGAGGCAGAGGTTGCCATGATCACACCCCTGCACTCCAGCCTGGGGGACGAGAGTGAGACTTCGTCTCTAAATAAATAAGTAAGTAAATTAGACTCTCATACTGTCATCTTTACATTTTTATTTCAGAGATTCTCAAACATTTAAAATACAAGCATTTGACCCAGATCCTAATTCTTACTTGATGCACTATTTAATATACCTTTATCAAATTACAGCCCCATTCCTTTGAATTTCTTTGGTTTTTTTGTTTTGTTTTGAGAGAGTCTTACTCTGTCACCCAGGCTGGAGTGCAGGGGCGCAAACGCTGCTCACTGCAACCTCTGCCTCCGGGGTTCAAGCAATAGTCTCTGCCTCAGCCTCCCAAGTAGCTGGGATTACAGGCACCCGCCACCATGGCCACCTAATTTTTATATCTTTAGTAGAGACAGGGTTTCGCCATCTTGGCCAGGCTGGTCTTGAACTCCTGACCTCGTGATCTACCTGTCTCAGCCTCTCAAAGTACTGGGATTACAGGCATGAGTTACCATACCCAGCCTGAATTTCACACTCAAAACCTTTCCTTAAATACTATGCAGCCATCAAAAACGATGAGTTCGTGTCCTTTGTAGGGACATGGATGAACCTGGAAACCGTCATTCTCAGCAAACTGACACAAGAACAGAAAATCAAACATTGCATGTTCTCACTCAGAGGTGGGTGTTGAACAATGAGAACACATGGACACAGGGAGGGGAGCATCACACACTGGGGTCTGTCGGGGGGAAAATAGGGGAGGGACAGCGGGGGTGGGGAGTTGGGGAGAGATAGCATGGGGAGAAATGCCAGTTATATGTGATGGGAAGGAAGGCAGCAAATCACACTGCCATGTGTGTACCTATGCAGCAATCTTGCATGTTCTTCACATGGAATCCAAAACCTAAAATGCAATTAAAAAAAAAAAAAAAGCACAATCATAAACAATGTTGACAAAAAAAAAAAAAAAACCTCTCCTTAGAAAACAGCACCTCTGGGTGCTTGGAAGATATTTTTGGTCTATTGCAAGAAAATATGTATTAACTGGCAGGGCATGGAGCGGTAACATGGCAGACAGTACAAGGCTGAGGAGAGGGGTGTCTTGCTGAATAATCTGTCTCCACTCATTTCCTAAATCCCCCAGTAACAGATGGGTCATCGTTTGAATTGCTTTATAAAAAGCCATCTTGGAATCTGAAGCATAATCTTGAGGGCAGATGCCTCTTACTGAAAGCTCTCTTTATTCATCTAACCCAGGTCCTCAGCCAGCAGAGCCACGTTCCTTATGAGCACCGCAGGTTTATTTCATTTTCCTAGACCACTGACCCGAATATGCCCAGCGCCATGGGGACTCCGGCTTTGGGAGAAGCTGAGGTTGTTATCCCCAGGAATAGCTGTCATTCCAGTCCAGATTGCAGGCAAGAAGGACTATCCTGCACTGCTCTCCCTGGATGAGAATGAACTCGAAGAGCAGTTTGTGAAAGGACACGGTCCAGGGGGCCAAGCAACCAACAAAACCAGCAACTGTGTGGTACTAAAGCACATCCCCTCAGGCATCGTCGTAAAGGTAGAGGACAAAAGCCACTGAGGGGAGGGGCCCCGCCCAAGGGTTCCACGGCCCCAGAGATTTGTCCCGAGTGTGAATGGGACTAGCTGAAGTGCTTATCTCATTCTGGCGCGAGCCCCCTCTACCAGCTGGGCAGTAGAGGGCACTGCAGATGTCATCCCATCCCTGAGCCTTTCCACCTACAACAAACTGGGAAGCCTGCTTCCCCGATCTTTTGGAGCCAGGGTATGGCAGCCATCCTTGATGGCACCTGGCAGACAGTACTGGTGCTTGGCTGCTGCCCCGGAAGCAGCAAGTTGACAAAGCTAAGCAGCGGCTGATAAAGGCAGGCGCCCGGGCAGTGTGGTTCTTTCAAAGCTACTCCCACTGTAGGGTGGCTGCTGAGATCTCCAGCATTACTGTGGGCTCCAAGTCCCTGAGGAGGCAGCAAGCAGGCCTGGGTTTTTGGCTAGCAGTCCCAGCCCTTAGCTGACCTAGCTGGTTAACATTAGGGTGGCCACATCCTCCATGCCTCTCTGTCCCCTTTGGTAAATGTTGGCAATACCTCCCAGCCTGGCCAACATGGTGAAACTCCATCTCTACTAAAAATACAAAAATTAGCTGGGCATGGTAGTATGAGCCTGTAATCCCAGCTACTCAGGAGGCTGACGCAGGAGAATCGCTTGAACCCAGGAGGCAGAGGTTGCAGTGAGCTAAGATCACTCTACAGCACTCCAGCCTGGGCAATAGAGCAAGACTCCTTCTTTAAAAAAAAAAAAAAAGCCCCCAAAACCTAAAATCCAATAAAAAATTAAAAAAAAAAAAAAAAAAAAAAGCCAAGCCTGGTCAGAGGGGCTCCCAGTCCATCTGCCTCATGGATCACCAGAGAGTCCTGGAAGCAGCACAGAGATAGCCACAGCAGGTGTTCTGTGTATAACGATACTGGCAGCAGATACTTACACGTCATGGAAATGTGTGGGAGGAACTTTTCTTTCTTTTTTTTTTTTGAGACGGAGTTTCGCTCTTGTTACCCAGGCTGGAGTGCAATGGCGCGATCTCTGCTCACCGCAACCTCCGCCTCCTGGGTTCATGCAATTCTCCTGCCCCAGCCTCCTGAGTAGCTGGGATTACAGGCACGCGCCACCATGCCCAGCTAATTTTTTTTTTTTTTTTTTTTTGTATTTTTAGTAGAGACGGGGTTTCACCATGTTAACCAGGATGGTCTCGATCTCTTGACCTCGTGATCCACCCGCCTCGGCCTCCCAAAGTGCTGGGATTACAGGCGTGAGCCACCGCACCTGGCCTCTAAGAAGCATTAACTCTGCAATCCCCATAACCCCATGTTCATGATTTCCATCACTGTACAGGTGTGAAATCTGAGGCACAGAGACATTAAATGACCTGCCCAAGGTCCTGCAACTTCGTAGTCAGTTCACACCATACCCCAAGTCCACATTCCTAACAGCTGCACATCACTGCTGGGTGGTTTTGTTTTGCTCATTGCCCAGGCTGGAGTGCAATGGTTCAATCTCAGCTCACTGCAAATTCTGCCTCCCAGGTTCAAGCCATTCTCCTGCCTCAGCCTCCAGAGCAGCTGGGATCACAGGTGTGCACTGCCATACCCAGCTTTTTTTTTTTTTTTTTTTTTTTTTTTGTATTTTAGTGGAGACAGGGTTTCTCCATGTTGGTCAGGCTGGTCTCAAACTCCCAACCTCAGGTCATCTGCCCACCTTAGCCTCCCTTAAAGTGCTGGGATTACAGGAGTGAGACACCATGCCCGGCCTCACTGCCAGGATTTTGAGCCACAAGAGAGATTCATATAAAACCTTAATCACTTTTCTTTTCCTCTTTGAAAAATGTCATTCATGAGTAACAAAATTCTGAAACCTGAGAGTTAATTTTTGTTTAATGTATTTTACATAACTCATTCCAAATTTGCTTTCAGTATTATTCTTTCACCCTAATTTCATAGAATTTTCTTTTTTTTTTTTTTTTTTGAGACAGAGTCTCGCTCATCACTCAGGCTGGAGTGCAATGGCACAATCTCGGCTTACTGCAATCTCTGCCTCCCAGATTCAAGCAATTCTCCTGCCTCAGCCCCTGCAAGTAGCTGGGATTACAGGCACCCACCACTACTCCCAGCTTATTTTTGTATTTTCAGTAGATTGGGGTTTCATTATATTGGCCAGGCTGGTCTTGAACTCCTGCCCTTGTGATCCGCCCGCCTTCACCTCCCAAAGTGCTGACATTACAGGTGTGAGCTACCACATCTGGCCATTCTTGTTTTGTTTTTGTTTTTAAAAGACAGGGTCTTGCTTCGTCACCCAGGCTGGAGTGCAATAGTGCGATCAGGGCTCAGTGTAGTCTCAAACGCCTGAGCTCAAGCAGTCTTCCCACCTCAGCCTCCTGAGTAGCTGGGACTGTAGGCATGCACCACCACACTCAGTTTTTGTTGTTTTTTGTTTTTGTTTTTTGAGATAGAGTCTTGCTCTGTCACCCAGGCTGGAGTGCAGTAGTGCAGTCTCAGCTTACTGCAACCTCTGCTCCTGTGTTCAAGGGATTCTCCTGCCTCAGCCTCCCAAGTAGCTGGGATTACAAGTGCCTGCCACGGTGCCTGGCTCATTTTTTTATAATTTTACTAGAGATGGGGTTTCACCATGTTGGCCAGGCTGGTTTCAAACTCCTGACCTCAAGTGATCCACCCATCTCAGCCTCCCAAAGTGCTGGGATTACAGGCATGAGCTACTGTGTCCGGCCACCCAATTAATTTTTAAATTTTTGGCAGAGATGGAGTTCTCACTAGGTTGCCCACGCTCGTCTCGAACTCCAGCCCTCAAGTGATCCTCCTGTTTTGGCACCCCCAAAGCATTGAGATTATAAGCATAAGCTACTACGCCTGGCTTAGGATTTATCTTTTATCAAACAGCTTTGCAAGGCACTCACTCACCTATAATAACTAAGGCATTACACAGTGAATGAGTTATGGTTGACTAATAAAGATGCCATTTTCTTCCTTCAGACAGAACTTTATGCTTAGGAATGGTGCACACAAAGTGGTTGTTCACTGGCCACAAACTAGATATGTCAGTTGATACTTTCAGAATTATGGTGGGACTTTAAGATATTTGAAGGCCACTGTTGCTTCTAAACAAAATAGTACTCCTAATGATTAAAAGAATCACAGCGAAAGCCACATAATACAGCAAGAGTGTGGGACACAGCAGAGGCCATGGGCAGAGGCAAGAACGGGGCTGGTCTTCACTGTCACTGACTCATGGGAACTCCTGATAAGGGGCTTTCCCTCCTAGGCTTGTCCCTCTCTGTAAAGCTTACAGGATGTCATGACCAGCCCAGCCAACACGGTGAAACCCCATCCGTAATAAAAATACAAAAATTAGCTGGACATGGTGGTGTGCGCCCGTAATCCCAGCTACTTGGGAGGCTGAGGAAGAACTGGTTGAACCCAGGAGGCAGAGGTTGCAGTGAGCTGAGATGGCGCCATTGCACTCCAGCCTGGACAACAAGAATGAAACTCTGTCTCAAAAAATAAATACATACATAAATAAATAAAAGCAAACAGGTTGAATTTAATAACTTCTGAGGTCCTGTCCATTTTATAACATTGTTGTTTTCACATTATAAAATATTCTCTTACAGTGCCATCAGACAAGATCGGTTGATCAAAACAGAAAGCTAGCTCGGAAAATCCTGCAAGAGAAAGTGGATATTTTCTACAATGGTGAAAACAGTTCTGTTCACAAAGAAAAACAAGAAGCAGCGAAGAAAAAGCAAGAAAAAAAAAAAAGAGCAAAGGAAACCTTGGAAAAAAAGAAGCTACTGAAAGAACTATGGGAATCAAGTAAAAAGGAAGATAACAAAGTTATTTAAGTGGTACACCTTAAACTACAGTGAACAGAGACCTCCACGATTCAAGAATAAAACGGCCAGGTGCAGTGGCTCACACCTGTAATCCCAGCACTTTGGGTGGCTGAGGCAGGCAGATCACTTGAGGTCAGGAGTTCTAGATCAGCCTGGCCAACATGATGAAACCCCATCTCTACTAAAAAGTACAAAAAATTAGCCAGGTGTGGTGGCAGGCACCTATAATCCCAGCTACTCAGGAGGCTGAGGCAGGAGAACTGTTTGAACCTGGGAGGCAGAGGTTGCAGTGAGCTGAGGTCGCGCCACTGCACCCAAGCCTGGGCAATACCAAGGCAACACCGAGACTCCATCTCTTAAGAATGAAAACTAGGTTGAGCACAATGACACATGCCTATAATCCCAGCATTTTGGGAGGCTGAGGCAGGAGAATCGCGTGAGCCCAAGAGCTCGAGATTACAGTTTGCTGTGAGCACCACTGCACTCCAGCCTGTGTGACAGAGTAAGACCATGTCTCTAAAAAATAAAACTATAGAGGGAGGAGGAAGTGGTGAAAAAAATAAATAAAACTATAAAGAAACACAAAATCAGTACTACACAAAGATAGGCACTTGGAGGGGCTCTGGGATGCCTGACGAAGTTGTTTCTTCCCCTGGGTGGTAGTTAGAAGTGTGTTCCCATATTTCTTTTATTTTTAAGAGACGGGGTTTCACCATGTTAGCCAGGATAGTCTCCATCTCTTAACCTTGTGATCCTCCCACTTTGGCCTCCCAAAGTGCTGGGATTACAGGTGTGAGCCACTTCACCCAGCCTGTTCCCATATTTCAAGTTATACCTTTGTCTGTGTGATTATATCTGTTTTGTAATAAAATTTTTTTGAGATTCATAAGGTCAATTTTTATGGAGAACTGGAGAATTGAGTCAAACATTAATAGCATTTGGTGGCAATTTATCATCTGCTGGGAGGCCACTGCCCACTGACACTTAAACATCAGTTATCCCGATGTCAGCTCAAGACAGTTAAAGAGAACTAGATGGTTGGAAGGGTTAAAGGTTATGTTCCTTGCCCATGTGCTCCATTAGCTTCTAGGCTGTATGTTGCCCAGTTGTGCCTCTGATGTAGAAACACATTCCCTGCACATTGGTTTGCAGGTAGATTTGTAAAGGTGAGGTTCCAGAATCCAATTTGCTTGTGAATTTGCATCACTCAAGCTGGATTTGACCTTAAAGTTGTGGTTTGTTTTTTTTTTTTTGAGACGGAGTTTTGTTCTTTTTACCCAGGCTGGAGTGCAATGGCGCGATCTCGGCTCATCGCAATCTCCGCTTCCTGGGTTCAGGCAATTCTCAGCCTCCTGAGTAGCTGGGATTACAGGCACACACCACCATGCCCAGCTAATTTTTCGTATTTTTAATAGAGACGGGGTTTCACCACGTTGACCAGGATGGTCTCGATCTCTTGACCTTGTGATCCACCCACCTTGGCCTCCCAAAGTGCTGGGATTACAGGCGTGAGCCACCGCGCCCAGCTTTTTTTTGTTTTTTTTTTTTAGCCATGCTTAATAGCTTGGCTTGTTAGAACTCTTCTGGAATCCACGTAGAAAACAAATGGAAAAATACTAGGAGTTGAGAAGACCACTGTGAGATTGCCAGTCGCAGGGCCTGCCTCAGTTCTGCAGTCCATCCAGCAGACCCAGGCTGCATGCCCAGTGCATACATCCAAGTACACCTTTCTCTTTGAGGCTGCCAATGAAGACTCTTGCCTCAAAGTGACAGCTTTGGATGCTTACATGTTCAATGCAGGACTCATTCTGCACCTCCTGTTGGAGTGTCCAGGACCTTTCCCCAGCCTAAACTCCCTTTAGAAGATAAAATCTCTAGAATGACACATAAGAAACCAGTAATAGTGGGAAGGGAAATTTGGAGCTGGAGACAAGGGACAGTGGTTTCCGTTTGTCTCCTCTCTCATACCCTTGCACCTTTCTGCCACAGGCAGGAACGGATGCAGGCACCCATTGCCCTAGAGCCCGTTCCTACTGGCCTCCAGCCTTGTCATGGCTGAGACTTCGCCTCATGCCTGCATCAAAGACAAGTCCCTCATTTGCCTTTGTCTACTGCTCAGCAAATTCTCACTGCACATCTAGTGCCTAAGGTATAGAATAAGAATTAAAATCCCTTTGGGAGGCACTATCAGAGACCACCATGTGGATTCTCCAGTGCAGCCGATTTTTTCCCTGGCACCAGAGCAGGTAATTCTTCCAGTGAGCAACAGATGAAGTAGCTTGAATTTAGAGGTCATATTTTATGAAAGACTCCTGTAGCACCCAGCAAAAGCTCACAGGATAAGTACCTATGAACTGAGAACGGCCTAACCATGGGGTAATAGGCCAAGTCAATAAAACTGCTTCAGGCCAGGTGCAGTGGTTCATGCCTATAACCCAGCACTTGGGAGGCCAAGGCGGGTGGGTCACCCGAGGTCAGGAGTTCGAGACCAGCCTGACCAACATGGAAAAAGCCCATCTCTATTTTAAAAAATGAAAATTAGCTAGGTATGGTGGCACACACATGTAATCCCAGCCTATTCGGAAGGCTGAGACAGATAAATTGCTTGAACCTGGGAGGCAAAGGTTGCAGTGAATCAACATCAAGCCACTGCACTCCAGCCTGGGTGACAGAGGGAGACTCCATCTTAAAAAAAAGAAAAACTGCTTCTGGTATTTTTTTTTCCTAGCATACACTTAAGTTTGCTGCACTTAAAATATACCCATAATTCAACTTCACTGTATCCCTACCTCCGACTTAGCAAACACATTCTTCCCCAACCAAGTGTGCTAGTGATGTCATCACCAAAATGTTTCCGGGTCAGGAGGGAAAAATACCCTTTGAACAGGTATCTCCTACCTCTAATGAGACATTATTTAAAAGACCAGGCATGGTGGCTCACACCTATAATCCCCATACTTTGAGAGGCCAAGGTGGAAGCCTAGACAATATAGTGAGACCTCATTTTTACAAAAAGGTTTTTTTTTTTTTTTCCCCACACACCCATTCATTCAATACAGAAAGTCTTTTAAAAACTATTCAGGCGTAGTGGAACACACCTGTAGTTCCAGCCACTAGGGAGGCTGAGGTGGGAGGACTGCTTGAGCCCGGGAGGTTGAAACTGCAGTGAACCAAGACTACATTACTGCACTCCAGTCTGGGTGGCAGAGCAAAACCCTGTCTCAAAAAAATAAAACAGCACTTAAGAATTGCAGGAACTCACATTTTAATACAAATTGTTAATGAAAATAAGCTTTATTACATCAAGTAATAAATACATACAAAGATGCAAACAGTTTTAGTCATTTTCTTCCAGATGTTTTGATCAACTTACAATAAACGAGGAACTGAGATCTACTTACAGTCTTAGTATGAAAATGTTCAGGGGTCCCTGTTGGGTTTGGTGGGTTGCTCTTTCTTCTGTATTTAGAACTTGTGCATTTTTAAAAACTGACTTTGAAGCACTAACAGTCATGCAAATGCTTAAGCGAAAAAGAAGTTACATTCAGCAGAATCTACACTGTATGGCAAATGGGAACAGCTACTAAGTAAAGCGGGCTGTCAATATGCATTAAAAACAAAACCCCTAGGGTGGTATTAGCTTATGAAAAGGAACAGAGAACACTGTGAGTAACAAGTGGATTCAAAAGAGAAGATTAGAGGGAGACAATGGTGTCTTGGAGGCAAACTAGTTTGCTGTAAGATAACTTTAGAAGCATCTTTTAAATCAATGCTTAAAAACAAAAAACAAACCAAAAAAACCTGGGCAGTTCCTAACTACTTAAATTGCAAATCCTAATTAACTGCAAAGTCTCTTCTCAACTTTGAGACTGTGTGTTCAGAGCCAAGTGAACCATGGGAGGAAAAAACCGAACTGTAACCATTTTGAAAACAAGGGTTTCATCTGAACAGGGGAGATGAACTGTAACTTCGCATCCTATGAAAAGATGGAAATCCTTCAAAACCAACAAGGAAGCTAGGATCTGGCATTCCGTTCCGTTTCTGCCAAGCACTCCCGAACCAGTCCTCTAGCGTGAATGATGCCTGAAAGAGAAGTAGAGACCCATGATCAGCCAGTGCACAGCCAGCCAGCCATTCTGGAACAGGAAGAGGATCCATCCTTCCATGCCTGGCCACAAAGCCCTCAGACAGAAAGGGAACTGGGGGCAGCTAGATCCAAGCAACCCTGAAGGATGCTAACCACCCCGTACCCCTCTAAAGCCCTTCCCTCCTCACAACTCCATGTCTCTCTAAACATTCTTCCTGCACTCACGGTGGCACCAGCAAGCTGTCCTTCCATGACATTGTTGGGTGAAAGACATGTCTCCACCCAAATTCTTTATGCTTGACCCACTGTGGAGATTTTTCTCCGGCTTCTTCAGTCTAAATTCTAGAAAGAGCTTGACGAGTGTCAAGCAAGAGAATGCCTCTAGCTGCACACTCGAGGGCACAGAGCACTGACTGCTGCCTGGTCCACCAGGACATCCCCACAAAACTCTGCAGCTACCTTCTGTCCTATGAATTTTCCCCTGTCTTTTGTCTCTATGGTTTGGTGCTTACCGTTTTTTGCTGTCACTACTGAACTTCATGAAATATGATCTTTTAATAGACACCAAGAATTCTATTTCTTTTATGATCTTTTAATAGACACCAAGAATTCTATTTCTTTCTTTTTTTTTTTTTTTGAGATGGAGTTTCACTGTTGTTACCCAGACTGGAGTGCAATGGCACGATCTCGGCTCACCGCAACCTCCGCCTTCTGGGTTCAAGCAATTCTCCTGCCTCAGCCTCCGGAGTAGCTGGGACTACAGGCACGCACCACCATGCCCAGCTAATTTTTGTATTTTTAGTAGAGACGGGGTTTCACCTTGTTGACCAGGATGGTCTCGATCTCTTGACCTCGTGATCCACCCGCCTAGGCCTCCCAAAGTGCTGGGATTATAGACGTGAGCCACCATGCCCGGCCTTCTATTTCTTCTAATAAATGACTCCCAGAGGCCACTGGGAATGACATCCCCACATCATCACCTCACAAATCTTAGAAGGTAACCCACAGCCTTGGAGAATGTTTTCTGTAAGGACCAGACAGCAAATATTTTGGGCTTTGCAGGCTCCACAGTCTCTGTCACAACCACTTCCAATTTTTTTTGAGACAGCACCTTGCTCTATCGCCCAGGATGGAGTGCAGTGGCGTGATCACAGCTCACTGCAGCCTCGACCTCCCAGGATCAGGTGATCTTCCCACCATAGCTTCCCAAGTAGCTGGGACTATGGGCACACACCACCATGCCCGGCTGTTTTATTATTATTTGTAGAGATGGGAGTCTCACTATGTTGCCCAGGCTGGTCTCAAGCTCCTGGCTTCAGCCTCCCAAACTGCTGGGTTATAGGCGTGCACCACCACATTCGGCCTCACAAACCTTTATTTCTGGACATTTAAGTCTGAATTTCACATAACTTTCACACATCCCCAAATCACTTTTTTTTTCATCCATTAAGAACCATGACAGTGCAGTACCTCACACCTGTAATCCCAGCACTGTGGCAGGCCAGGGCAGGTTGGCCACTTGAGGTCAGGAGTTCAAGACCAGCCTGGCCAACATGGTGAAACCCCATCTCTACTAAATACAAAAATTAGCCAGGCGTGGTGGTGGGCACTTATAATCCCAGCTACTTGGGAGGCTGAGGCAGGACACTCACTTGAACCCCAGAGGCAGAGGTTGCAGAGCCAAGATCATGCCACTGCACTCCAGCCTGGGCAACAAAGTGAGACACCATTTCAAAAAAACAAAAACAAGACCGGGTACAGCGGCTCACGCCTGTAATTCCACCACTTTGGGAGGCTGAGGTGGGCAGATCACCTGAGGTCAGGAGTTCCAGACCAGCCTGACAAACGTGGAGAAACCCCGTCTCTACTAAAAATATAAAATTAGCCAGGCATGGTGGCATGTGCCTGTAATCTCAGCTATTCGGGAGGCTGAGGCAGGAGAATCGCTTGACCCCAGGAGGCAGAGGTTGCAGTGAGCCGAGATCACACCATTGAACTCCATCCTGGGCATTAAGAGCGAAACTCCCACCTCAAAAAAAGTAAAAACAAAAGAACTATAAAAACTATTCTTGGGGCCGGGTGAGGTGGCTCATGCCTGTAACACCAGCACTTTGGGAGGTCGAGGAGGGCAGATCACCTGAGGTCAGGAGTTCAAGAATAGCCAGGCCAACATGGTAAAACCCCATCTCTACTAAAAATACAAAAATTAGCTGGGTGTGGTGGTAGGCACCTATAATCCTAGCTACTTGGGAGGCTGAGGCAGAAGAATTGCTTGAACCTGGGAGGCAGAGGTTGCACTGCGCCAAGATCATGCCACTGCACTCCAGCCTGGGTGATAGAGCAAGACTCCATCTCAAAAAAAAAAAAACACTATTCCTGTGGCTCTTGGCTCATGGGCTACAGTTGCCTACCTACCTACAATGCTCCTAACTCCCCAAGCCGTCTATGACATGTTTTCACCCTGCTGTGGCCTGAGCTTGGTCAGCTCAAGCTTGGCTGTTGGCCAAGGAATGACACTAGGTCTTCCTTATTACTGAAAGGTTGGCAGCTTATACCCATTTTGTTGACTTGAACCAGTGCCTTTTATGGGTGGCTGCGAATCACCTGTTGGACTTTGGGACCCAGCACCTTCCCAGGAATTTCCATTCTGGTAACCAGCACCCCAGCTACCAGAAAGCGGCCCTGGGACCACCCAACTCTCTGGGCAAGACCAGGGCTGGGCTCCACATCCCTTCCCCAAGCCTCTTCAATCACATCCTATAACCCTGCCAGTCCCAACCTAGCTTTGAGATCTGTCAACCTCCTCACATAGGTTTCATCAACTCCAAAGCAACCCTGCTCCTGGCAGCAGCCTGTCCTCAGCTAGCCCTCGTGTCACTGGGGTCATGACGTCAACTACAGCCCATATTCATGCCACATATTTACAACCAAAGAATGTTCTTCTCCAAGGTTGCTTCTCCTGCCTTTTAGAGAATCCCAAGCTCCCTCTCATCTGGAATGAGATCACGGGCTACGGCTGCACTATACTGTACTGTAGCCTAAAATAGAAATCCTACTCTTCCTCTACTCTTTCATTTCAGGAGGTAGCAACCTATTTAACATCCTTCCGAAATCAGCCAATCATGCACAACACGGTGGCTCACACCTGCAATCCCAGCACTTTGGGAGGCCAAGGTGGGCGGATCACCTGAGATCAGGAGTTCAAGACCAGCCTAGCCAACATGGCAAAACCCCATCTCTGCAAAAATACAAAATTAGCCAGGCATGGTGGTGTGTGCCTGTAATCCCAGCTACTTGGAAGGCTGAGGCGGGAGAATTGCTTGAACCAGGGAGGCGGAGGTTGCAGTCAGCTAAGATTGCACCATTGCACACTCCAGCCTGGGAGACAAGAGTTAGACTCCGTCACAAAAAAAAAAAAAAAAAAAAAAAAAAAAAAGAACAAAGTGCTCTCAGCCTCTCCCCGCCGCCGGCCCTCGCTTCTTTGGGTCCAGCTCCAAAAAGGGGACAGCAGAGACAGTGCAGGCACCAATGACCCTGAGCTTGGCTTCCCTAGGACCAGTGTCAGCCAACAGAAGCAGACCAGGCAAGAAGGGGAGCAGCAGGGTCAGGGGGCTTCGAACACCCCCTTGAAAGCCAGCAGACCCTCTGGCAGCACGCAGGGTACAAAAGGCTCCCTGTCTGGACTGCTGTTCCCAGAAGCCCCCTCTGAAGACTTCTGGCCCCCAAGACCCCTCGCCACCAGAACCACTGCCTGCCTGATGCCTCCACAACAGACGGCAACTCTGTAACAAGACAGGAGCCCCAGTGGGTGAGCCCCATCCCTAGCCCACCCTCCCAAGTTTTCCCCAGAAGTCTTTCCAGAGTTAAAGGCCTAGACTGTGGTCACCGGCAGGGCAGTGGGGCCAGGCTTACCACGCTTCAGCCTCTCCATGGCGCTCTTGCTGCCCGCGTATGTGGGTCTGATCTCCTTCCCCAGCTCTTCAATGATGGCCAGCAGCTCCGCATATTTGCTTTGGGGCACCTGGCTATTCCCAGTTCCCTAGAAGCAGAAAATAAATGGGTTCAGCAAAATTAGCCAGGTGTGGTGGTGCGTCCCTGTAATCCCAGCTACTTGGAAGGCTGAGGCAGGAGAATTGCTTGAACCCAGGAGGCAGAGGTTGCAGTGAGCCAAGATCGCACCACTGCATTCCAGCCTGGGCAAGAGTGGGACTCCATCTCAAAAAAAAAAAAAAAAAAAAAAAATGGGTTCAGCAGACTGAACCTTACCCAAGGCCACAGGCAGGTGGGTGGAGAGGATCCTGGGCTGGTCAAGGGAGGGAACACAGCCCAGCCTCAGACTCCCGGAGTGCCCACCTCAGCTGGGCTGAAGCACGCCCCATTCTAGTGGAAGAAGGTTAAGAAGATGGTCCTCAGGCGCCTATCCTCACACACCCTGGGAGACCACCCAGCTGTCTCCGGGAAGCAAGTTTATCACCTCCAATGAACAGAACAAGGGAACCAGCTCTTCTTGGCAAGAAAGAGTCACAGAGCATCTCCCAGGAGGCAGACAGGAAGGAGGGCGCAGCCCAAGGGCCAAGCCTCGGAGCCACTGCAGAGACAGAGGCCACACCTGGGCCACCAGGACCACAGCCATTGGCCACGGCCAGGCCAGAGCCTGGAATGCATTCCCTTCTCTCGTCATACCACCAACGGG